GAGGTAGAATTATTAGTATTTATCTCTCATATCTCGTATCTTTCATTTTGGACTTTAGCATTTTCAGCTGTTTGCCAGCAGCTGTTTCACATCTGCTTTTGTCAATCTATGATTTAAAGAAGCTTTGTTGTAATCCTAAAAATTACTGTAAATAAATTAGGTTTTATTATTCCAATAACTAAGATCTACCAGCAGGATGTAAACAAATTATTTTGGGTCATATATTCTTATATTTCATAAGACCTAACAGCCACCACTACAAAATATAAGTTTAACAGAAAAAGGAAGGAACAAGTTAAATATACATGAGATTTAAGATTTATTAGATTGTTGTTTTTTTAAGTTCTAAGAAACAGAAACTATTACAGGTCAGTTTACCTACATAGGATAAGAAATAGGTTAACATGTTTGTATAAAATGTAAGTAAGAAACAACAAAAAGGTACAAATTTGAGGTTAAGCTGGGGGAGCAAGTTACATTCAGTATTTTGTTCACCATCCAGCGGATGGCACCCACATCATTAAAACACTGTCATTTACTGAATTATTCAATACTGATCAAAGATTGTTTCAAACACATTTTTTGGTTTGTAAAACTTGTAAGCTTATAGACAATTTTAAAAAGTGAAAAACAGATTGTCTTAGTTTGCTATTCATATAAGGACTTGGCTGTATTGATATCCATGGACTATTGTAAAGATTAGCAGACCTCTTTGTTCTGTTTGTTGTCTTTTCTAACAGACAGATCTCGGTTTAATGTCCCTAAACTATGTTTTTATACAGATATCCAGGTTTTGATTGCAGTGACTGACTTTCAACAGTAGATGTCAGTAAAGCACAAGCAATCTGGGAATAATAGTTTCCAGAAGCCTTATAAAAATAAAAAGAAACGTGCTGCAAATAGATTTGATTTGGATATTTCTTTCTCACCACAGAGTGTGGAAAAATACTGTGAAAATAAACACATCTGTTAGCAGTTTTCCTATTTATGAAAGAGTCCTCTGCCTTGTTACGTAGCGTCCGTTAAAACTTCCTCACAAGGCAGAGAAAGAAGTGTCATTTTGCTGACTCAAAATATTTTTCAGCCCATCCTTGTTCCTCTCCCTCATCCTTTGTCTATATCTCTGTCTCTCTCTCTTTGGTCAGAATTCAGTTACCCTTCATCTCCCACTCCTTTCTTTATGGATCTTCCTCTTCTGACCTTTTTTTCCCCTGTTTGTGCGTTCAATAGTTTCCTGGAATGTCTGGTCCTGAGTTACAGGACACAGCCAAGGCGAGGCTATTTAGACTGATGTAGGCCTGCAGGAAGGACAGTTACATAACCACGTGGCTTCTCTATTGCTTTTGATTTTACTTATAGTGAGAGAGATTTAAAGGATGGAGATGTTCCCAAGTACGACACACTGACCAAACAGATTTGGATCATTAGTCACAGTTACCCTAAAGTCTGAATGTGATTCAACATGTTAGGCTTTTTTGTTTCTTTAGGGATTTACTGTTTTCTTAGAAATGTCTGCAGGGTTTCTCCTGCTGTGCCTGAAATCTGAGCTCTTTAAGCTTGTGTTTGGATTCTGGTGAAGCGTCAGACTTCTTGGCCAAAACTCTGAGGGCTTGTGTTGGTGGAGGCAAAGCAGCCTCAAAGAAAGGTCTGGTCTTTTATCAGTGGGACCAATACCCCTGCTTCCTGCTGCCCAGTAAAGATTACCGCTTCCAGTTTTAGGCAGGAAAATTATGATTCAAGATTTGCTTAAAGATAAAAGATTTTAAAAAGTTAATTTATTGGGAAACTTGATATGTAATAGCTCTGATTTTATGCATGTTGTTTGATACTTTGACTTTTATGCTTCCTGGTGTAAAATCCCTTTGAAATGCTGCAGTCAATGCATGAGCTGTTCCAATTCTCTCCAGCCACAAGCCTAAGATAGAGCGCAAAAATAAGTGGGTAGAACAGAAACTCCTCCCTTTCTGGTTAGATGTGGAAACTCTGAGTCTTACTGAGGTTATGTGTTTTTGCTCCTTAATGGAAATTCAGTTTGCTCCCTGTCCTTCTGCTTCATAACAAAACATCTGGTCATGGGGAACAGACTGAAAAGAACTCTATTTCATTAATGGTTTAATTCATTTTGTGGGATTAGACGTGGAAAGTGGTTGAATAAAAATAAGCATAACCTTATTATTTTAACTGACACTGAATAGACCAAACTTTTTCTTAGAGAGGGTCATTCAATTATCCATGTTAGATAAAGATAAGAAACAAAGAGAGATGTTGTTTGTTTTACATTTTCTTTTATTACTTTATTCCAATTCTAAATAAATCACTATATTTATAGAGCTCTTTGTACATCCAAAGTGCTTTACAGGCCCCCAAATTAAAAAGAAAATGAAGCATTTAAAAATGACATTTACACACAGTACACCTAATTCACAACCTGTTGATTAAATGAATGTATTTAAGGCCTCTGCTGTCAGCAAACTGTCTTTGTGCCTCATCATGAAGCCATTAATCAGCCAAGATATCAGGAAGACGTTTCTTGTTTATAGATCTAGATGCCTGAATAATAATAGCTGACCTTTATTGATCTCACATTGGAGAAATTTACCTTTGTATTTAACCTATCTCCTTGGGGAGCATAGGGTTGCTCCCCAAGGAATGCACCGTTCATGTGCTCCAACAATTATAGATGTGTGACCTCAAAGAGTGTTAAAAGACTGGTTCTGCCTTAAAAGAATGTGGTTTTGGTGCAAAATATGCAAATAAAACCTTAAACAAAAGCAAAAAACCAGTGAAGATGCTGTCTGAAGTTGGTCAGAGAGATTTCTTTGTCATATATAGTGAAAAACGTCCTTTGATGAAATTGACCGAACGGTTACTCAGTGATAAAGAAATCATAACTTTAAAAGCAACATTTAGAGGATGATTACAGTTTCTAAATGGACGCAGGAAGAAAGACATCAGAATTTGAAGTCATTTTCTGTGGTCTAAAGACACTAAAATGGAAAAACCATGATGGCCGTCTTAAGTTTTAGCTTGCAATCCTGAAACACCAAAAGTGGTTCCCCTATTTCACAGGTTAGGAGGTTTTAAGACAGAATAGACACAGAAGTATCACACTGTTTAAAGCCAATGCAATTAAACAGGAAAAAAATAGCAGAGTTATGTTTACAGAGTTCAAAGTATTTTTCTCCCAAAGAAGCATTTTTGCTCAACTTTGAGTTAAAAAAATTACGTGTGAGTTAATTTTAGTCTTTCTAGAGAGCTACTATATTAGGGCTACAACTAATTATTTAGCAATTCTATTAATCTGTCGATAAGTTTTTCGATTAATAATTGGAAAGCAAAAGGTTCCTTAAAGGAGACTTTTTACTAAATTAAAACAGGTTTAACTAAAAGTTTTCCACTTGAGGAGTTCTGGATAAAGCATATTGACAGATTTTTTTAATGTTAAATGCAAAATTTTAATACATTTTTTTTTACACTTTTTGGTGTAATTTCTGCTCTAAGCGGGTCACTCTATTAGCTAAAGACACGTTTAAGATTCTACATACTGCATTTAACTATTAATCGATTACTAATTTAGTTGACAATTATTTTAATAATCAATTAATCACAATTAATCAGATTAATTGTTTCAGCTCAAAATGTTATCTGGATCTGGATTGACTCTTTAATCTGATTAAATTTTGCTGAGACATTCTTAGTAAAAGTATAGTAACTCCAGATTCTAATGAAAATAATTTTAAAAAATCTCTCTTCGTACTAATTTCTGTGAATGATTTTGTATATCCTAACTGATCTGATCTGACCTGATCTAAACACTTTTCATAGTAGGTACAGGGAATGATAGCCAAAACCTTCTTTCTGGAATCATGAATGTGAGGAAGATTTGCAGTCAAAAGTGGTTCAAGCTTCTGCCTTTAAATTGGTTCATTTACGAGATAAAACAAATAAATCCTGCCTCTAGTTGTGCTTTGAGACAAAGATTTAGACGATGATTTGAAAGAAAAAAAATAGAAATAGCACTTTATTGATCTCAGAGTGGAGAAATTAACTTTCTGCATTTAACCCATCTTCTTGGGGAGCAGTGGGCTGCCAATGTGTGGCGCCCAGGGAGCAGTGTGGGTACTTGCAACCCTCTCAGCGAACAAGCGCAGTGCTCTAACCATTAGACCAACACTCCCCTAACCTCTCATTAAGTCTGAACCAAACTTAATGAGAGATGAGGTGTGATTCCTCCGTGCTCCTGTAGGATTTTATGGAAAACCATAAATCTGAAGACAGACACACTGTCCTTAATGAACCGAAAAATATACATGTAACTGTGGTTGTTTGGGAAAAACTGTAAAAAGGAGAAAGTTAAGCTGGAAGCGATGTCACCCCTTCTCAAAGATTTTCTTAATGATTATATTGACATAAAAACTTATACCATCAAAAAGGTAAAATAGTATGATAATAATTGTTTGTATTAGGAACAAAATGTCCTGTGAACCATTTAAAGTTATCACGGCGTCTTTAGCTAAATGTATGTGGAGAGAGTTCATGTTCAACATAAATGTTTTGTATTTCTCAACTGCATTCATCTTTTCAAATTTTTTAAATATTTTATTTTTCTTCCAAGAAAACCTTTTTTTTCATCATTTTTTCCTCAGTAAATTATTTTCCATCTTCCTGAGATTTCTTGTCAACATACACAAATTTCTCAGTTACCTCTTATTTTTGAAACCATGCATCAGTAATTACACGGTTCTGTGTTTAGTGGTTCCCTCAGACAGACAGAACCCAGCCAGGTAGTTCTCCTGAGGCTATCCAACAGAACCGGTTCCCCCAGTCGTGCATGCCTTCCTGCTGCTGCATGGAAGAAACATTTAGCTGTTGAAGAGCCTGAGGGTGGAGGCGGTGGCGGGGGGAGTCTTTTAAGATCCAGCCCCCACATTCCTAACCTCCTTCTGGACTATAAAATGCAGAGCCCCAAGAGTTCAGCTCCTCCTCTACCTCCTACTCCTCCCTCTGTGTTTGTTTTGTGGCGTGCTCCTTCTATGTCAGAGTAGAGGAGCGTTCTGACAGGGACATACCATTCTTCAACCGCAGGGGAAGTCATCAAAGCAGCAGTGAGCTTCAGAGCTTAAAGCTCACTTCCTTTCCACCCACTGCATTTTTAGTCTGTGGGCTGTTCCGAGGTGGAGCAGGGGGGATGGAGGGGGTTCAGAGGAGGAGGAGAGAGTCAGGAGAACATTGAGATACCAGCTGATCAGAGCTGAGGTATTCAGCCACGGAGGGACTGTCAGAGTGACTGGAAATTACTGAAAGACGAAGAGGGGATACAGAAAAAAGGCACACATTGAGAAAAAAAGAGATGTTTCCTTCATTTCACGTGAATCTGAGAACTCATGGGGAGATGTGAGGGTTTCTGTCAGGGTGGGAACCTGAAGAGGAGTGTCAGAGGAGAACTGGAAGCTGAGTCTTGGTGACTGGTGAGTCAGCTCAAGGTTGGAGGACTTGGCGGAATAAGGAGCGATGTCTTGGCTGTCCCCAGTGTCATGGGCCAAATGGACATGGACGGCGGTCCGAGGGGGAGAGGAGGATGGAGAGGGGCAGGAGGATGGAGAGGGGCAGGAGGCCAGCGAGAGAAGGGAGCAGTGGAGAAGGAGAGAAGAGGAAGAGGAGGAGGAGAGATCTCAAGGCAGCAGGCAAGTGTTGTGCTGAAGCTGTGAGACCACAGGCAGAGTTTCTGCACAGGAGGAATGTGGGGGGGATTCAGGAAACTATCATCTTGGGAAAATCTTTAGTGATATATCTGTCACCACGTGTATGTCGACATTCTGCATCTTGGTGACGCATTTCTGTTGTGTTTGTGCTTTAAATTGCCCCTAAATGTCTCTCTCTCTGCCTCATAACCACTACTTTATTTCTAACAGACACAAATCTTTAAAGGATTCACCCAAACATGTGTTTAAATCATCAGGGTCTGCAGCCACCACGTGTCTGCTTTGATAACAGTGTTATCTCGGCCTCTGTTCCGCCGAGATACCAATACAACGACTACTTTCAGATGACTTCCACCCTTCCACTTCTGCACTGATAGGCTATCACTTCTCTGAGCTTTAACATGATCACATCCAATAGATAAATCTGATTTGATCTTTGCCATCAACTCAAATTAAATGAAGGATCAATACATGCCTAAAATGAAAATGTCATTTTATTTTACATTTCTCATGTCGCAGACTGCATTGTTCTTCGAATGTGACAGGATATAGTAGGTTGTCCTACATGCACTTCCTCTTCCTCTGTGTATGTTTCGACTTCAGTTATGCTTTCTCCTGCTCTGTTTTAGATCAGATAGAGTGTTAAAGGGTTCTACAACAATCAGCAGCCAGGTTAAGCTCACTAATGGTTTATTTTTGTCTTTAGTTGTTACAATGGCTGAGAGGTTTTGCAAGACATGTGCATAAATCAACTATGTGATATGGTGTTAAGTCACAAACTCACACGTTTTAATCTTTAAGTGTGCTTTTAGGATAAATTCTTCCAATACAGGAGACAATAACAAAGCCAACAACTCTTTTTGGTTGTAACATGATCATAACTGCTAAGTTATGTAATAGTTTTCTTCCTTTTGCTCATGTTTGCATGTTTGCAGCTCTGACTCCGAGGGTCATTTTGACACCCCTGAAGCAGCGACTCCCGTCCGTGCCCCTCAGCCTGTCCCAAGAGAGCTGGAGAACAACAACACCAATGCAGACAAAACAGGTGAGGCCACTGCAGAGCAGCTACAGACAGGAAAACAGAACAAAAAATAGGAGGGGAAGAGCTGGTTCAAAAACGGTTACTGGTATGTTTGTCACCCTGAGGGAAACCTGAAGGTTCTTATTAACATTTCAAAAAAACTCAACAAATCAAAGGAAATGGGTTTTCACATACAGGCCACTATTCATTTTTCAAGGTTGCTATGGAAACAAGAGTCTTTTTATGTTGCTCTAACTATTCAGGGTTTCACATCAATACAAACAAAAGACAATAAAAAAAAATCCTAACTTTAAAGGCAAATGTGACACATATCTGCGCTGTGTATATAAATCTCTTACTTTAGCTTTATATATTTATGTATATATATATATGTATACATATGTATATATGTATACATATATATATATATATATATATACGTATATATATATATATATATATATATATATATATATATATATATATATATATATATATATATATATACGTATATATATATATATATATATATATATATATATATATATATATATATATATATATATATATATATATATATATAAAGGTTATTTAGCATCTGAACATTCAGTAAACTACTCTCAGAGTTTCTGGTATGTTTTGGGGTGTGATTAGCAGTGATGCTCTAACACCGTCATTTGATTCACGTTAGGAGGAGCTTATGGAGCAGTGTGGGAACGACCTTTGCTCTGGAATCCAACAGGTTGAACAAAAGCTGTGAGCTTTAGCTAGCTCTGCTTTGTGCTGGCCACTGTCAGGGGTCGCAGCGGGGAGACGGGCTGAACGCAGCATGTCACTACATGTTTCTTTTTGCCAGGGCTTATGAGGCGACTGCTGTTTCAAAACAAGTTCATCCATCCTGTAAAACAGCTCCGGCAACATTTTCTTAAAGTGAAGTTCTAATTGAAAAGAAAGAAAATTGTTTTTACAACCTTACATCCTTTAAAGATGGCAAGGATATGACTCATTTGTGTAGATTTTTATAATAATATAAAACCTTGAACTCTATTAGTTTTGGAAACCCTTAGGGTTTATTTTTTATTATAAATATTATTGCATGCTTAAATAGTAAAAAACCTTTAAAAGGTTTTGCAATATGTTAAAGGTTTAGGGCAAAGTGTTGCATGTAAGCTGCTCATCTTTAAGCTCTGGCCCCAAACATGACCCAATTACCCAAATAAATATTATTTGTTTTGGATATAATTAATCCATACCTGTAAACACATTCTAGGCTTCTAGATTGACAATCACTGCTTGGCAATAGATCCATTGTAAGGATCATTACTGAACCGCTCTGTCTTATTTTATTGAACAATTGCTTTCAATTATAGGTAGTATATCATAAGAAAAATTAGCCTTGACAGATTGCTTCTGCAGGTTTTCTTGTACCTATATGTGGTGATCATTGGGTGAGCAGCCGAGTGTAACCTTGACAGGTCCCAGGTTGATCATAGGTCTTACATATCTCAAACATTTCAGTCTATTGCTGAAATTAAAGCTGAAAATGGTTTAACCATGTAAAGTTTACAGCATTTATTTTGCTGACAGTTTTGGTGAGTTAGAAGGTAAATGCACGGCACAGGTTAGGTAACAAATGGAGAACGATACTTTCTTTTCTTCTTTTTTTAACTACTCATTTTCTGGTTTCCTGCTGCCGCTAGCTGTGTTCAGTGGATTATGCTTGATTGAATGCAGATATGAAAAGCAAGGTGGGATTTAGTTACAGTTTTATTTTCGTTGTCTTTGTTTTTTTTATCACTAAAACACCTACAGTTGTAGCCATTAAAAATTTACCCACTTTCCTTTATTAGTCCTTGGCTGTTCCTCTACAATTCCCTTTTAAACATCAACATTTGTACTAACATATTCTTTGTATCATGATTTGTGGACAGATCTAAAGTGAAGCGTCATCTCCTGGTCAGAGCCTGTAATTCAGTAAAAGGATGGAGTCAGATTTAAAAAATATGCAAGAGGGGGTCACTCCAGTGGCTGGAAGTTGCAGGGCATTTCGCTGGGAGTTGGAGGGAAGTGGGCTGCCATTCTGTTGGCATTTGACAGGGAAGGGCCATTTTGAATGCTACTGTAGACAATAGCTTTAGCATTTTTGCTTATTAATGGTAGAATAATTTTTTTCTGCTTGTAATATATATTTTTCTTTTTCTAATTAAACAGCTTGATCCATGGGTCCCTGCTTCCAGGGGTTAGTGTTGTGGATTTCAGTTTCGTAGGCATCCTCACCAGGAACAGATTATCCTGTGAAATACTTTTCTACTCATTACAGATCTCCTATGTCCTGGCTTTTCTGTCTAACCTAAATATTTAGGATCAACAAAGGCGTTTTAATTTTAGTAATTGTAGCATGCATTTATGCTCCCTTAACCACATTGTTTATTAATTGCGTAGTACTGTAAAAAGGTTGTTAAAAAGGCTGAACCACAGAGTGCTTTCTCTTTGTTAAAAGAAAATAATTCACCGCCTTTCTTTTCTTTCATTTCACCAAAACTTAATTCTGCCTGATGAATAAAATCAAGAAATCACTGATTATAAATCTGTCTGACAATATAAGCTAGAAAGATATTAAAACGCAAAACATAATTGCAGACTTTCAAAATCTAAAGAAATTTGAGAACAAATGAGAAATTAGTCAGTGACATCAACCAATCTATAGAAGGTTACAAATCGTTGTTTTTTTTTTTTGGACAGTGAAACACTTGAGTTTTTATCCTGTTTAGAAAAAAAAAAACACGGATCAATGATGAACTTGCTTTCATTAATCAAGTCAGTAAGAAAAAAAACACATCTACAGCTCCAAAAGCTTTGCTTGCTTCAGTTGTGGTCAGTGTTGAGGTGGTTAGGCGAAAACTACTGCTGACCAGGAAGAACATAAAAACCTGTCCTACATTTGATGGGACTTGTTTGGAAACGTGCATCCGATGGTTAATCTGCTATCACAGGGTTTCAGAAATAGCACAACATAGCAGCAGAGAGCATCTGTGGTGCCAGTGTGATTCATTTAGATTACTCTGCTGCTTCAGGACCTGGATGACTGGCTGTAATTGATGGAATGTTAAATTCTGCCTTTGAGTTTGTACCTATGGTCATATTAGGACATAAACAAAGCAGCATTTTGAAATTAAGCAGGTTACACGGGAGCTGGCTTTGCTAGTCTCCAAGCAACAAGGTGTTACATTAACAGAGCGATGAGGATGACAGACTTACTGAAATATGCAGCAGTCAGTGTCAAAATGTTCCCTGGAGCTGATATTTACATCATAGCTGCCACTCTGTTATTTTTCCACTCAAAATAAAGGCAGGTCTTTGTTACTGTGCTTTAACGTTATAGGAGTATTAGTAAGACATCACCATGGAAACAGCCGCAACTAGAACAGTCTGCTGGCGAGTAACCTGGTTTCAGTAACCAATCAGATATCATGTACATCTGAGTTTACCAGTTGATCACAGATATTCACTCAGAACAAGTCTACTTTCAAGGTTAATAACGTTATTAATGATTTTGCATTGTTTCTCCTTTAATTTTTCCAGATTTGGAGCAGGAGGAGAACCTGATAGTGACTATTCCTGTCAGAGATCCAGATACCACACCGAGCCACAGCATGGGTCAGGAGGAACCTGTGGTACCTGTGGAAGGTCAGCTGGAAATAGAAGTCCAAAATCAAGATGAAGAGCAAGCAGAGCAACCTTTAGAAAACCATGATTCTTTTCCTCTTCCTGATTCATCCCCTCTAAAGGAAGAGGCTCAGATCCCAGCTCTAGATTCAGAGCCATCCAAAGACATAAAGGTCTGTGATGCAGATGTAGTCCCAGATCTGGCACCAGCTCCAGACCCAACTGACCCAGATTCAGTACCAATCAATGAACCTGGAGCATCAAATGCTTCACAGCCTCCTGAGGAGAAAGCTGTTTCTGATGTAGAGGAAAACCTGGATGTGCTCTCCAACCATACAGAACCTGAACAAAAGACGAAAAGTATCAAGTCCAAGCCTCCATCCCTGAAAATAAAGGCCCCAGTAAGTCCTCTGCCTCATACAGAGGAGGAACAAGAACTTTCAGTTCCAAAGGCATCATACAGCCTTAACCTTGACCAGCTTGATGACAGCTTTAACCCCTTCACCAGTGGCGGATCCAAAATCCAGAACTCTCCTCCACCATGTGGCTCAAGCTCTCTCCCCAGGCTAGAGCCACCTTGCGAGTCGTTGCCTGTCAGTGAGGCCACTAAAATATCAAAAGGAGACTCAGAAACCATAGATCCATCTTCAGAAGCGAAGCCTGTGGTGCTGGAGTTTGGTCTGGACGATGGAATGGTCAGGAAGCCCCCTCCAAAGAAATTAGGGGGGAAAAGGACAACCAGCAAAATTGCTGCAAAGAAGCAAAAGCCAAAAGATTCAGAGACCCCTTGCAAACCAGCAGCAGGACCGACAGTGTTGGAGACACAACCAGAACCAGTGTCAGAAACCGCTCCTGAGCCTAGTTCCCAATCTATACCAGAGCCTGCTTCAGAACAGCTTCCAGAACCCGTTGCAACGGACTCCTCCGCACCTCTGAATCTAGATGACCTCCCTATTCCTAAAAGCGGAACTTATAACTTTGACCCCAGTCAATGGGACGACCCCAACTTCAATCCGTTTGGTAGCAACAGCAAGGTTAGCAGCTCTCCTGTGCTGCCGAAGGCCTCATACAGCTTTGACCCGGACAATTTTGATGAATCCATAGATCCTTTTAAACCATCTCAATCCCTAAACAACGAGGATTCATCCTGCACTGCCTCTCAGCCTGAGACAAAAATAAAAGAGCATGGCAAACCCAAGGCAAGGCAGACCCCAGGGGAGAAGAAAGTGAAGCAGATTCCAAAGAAAAGCAAAGAGAGAGCATCCACGTAAGTGTTCTTTTTGAACAATCAAAACAAAAACCCTTAAATTCAGCACTTTAGTATTTCCAGCACCTTACAAAACTATTCATACCCCTTTAACTTTTTCATGTTATGTTACATCACAATAACAGATTTCGATTAGTAGTTGTTTCTGATTTATTTGTTTAATTAAGAAATACACCGAGCCCCTCTAAACACTTTGTAAAACTATTGCATCCCTTACTTACTGACAGCCATTTGGTCTCTGTCTTAACTAGCTTTTCATATCTGCAGATTTACACACTTTCCCTTCGTAAAAAAGGATTCAGAACATTGATTTTTTAGGTTTTTCCATTGGGACTCAATTGAATTCAATTCTGGGCTTTTGACTGAGTTATCCAAGCACACAAATGTGCAGCATAAAAATGCATCTATATCTCTAAAATGCATTATATCTGATTGTCCAAACAAGTTGTCATGCGCACAGAAAATTCCCAATTGACCGTCATTACACCTAAGCCTCCTTCTCACAACAATGACAACAGATATTTTTGCATGCATGTCTGCACCTGATTTTTAAATCATAAAGAGAATTAAATATAACACATACATTTCGTTGTGCATATCATAAATTATCAAGGAGATTCCAGTTGTTAATTAATAACATTATATCATACGCGTATAGTCCTCCATGTATTTTGCATGTTCTGATGATTTGTGTATGTCCTTCAAATTCATGAAAGCAAACATTCTTAATAGTTTGCTATTGCATTCATTTAACAGATGAAATAATCTAAACTGGTTAGGTGATCAGCTTTGTTCATCAATTTAGTAGGTCTGGCCCAATTGGTTTTTTTAAGTGTAGAACAAAATGTGCGGTTAAGGTATTTTCTGACCAAAGAGCCCTGATCCACATGTTTGCTGTGCCTGTGGCTTTTAGTCATATTAAAAATAATTTATTTGTAAATTTTTTAACAATAGTTCCCTTTCTGTCAACACATTCACCAATACATCAACCAGTTACTCAGCTTAGTGCTGAATGACCTATCATAGTAACAGTTTGCTCTGCATTTAGCTGTATTAGAAATTATCAAACTTTTAAATGTTCACTGGTGAAATAAAGTAAAACAATAAATCATCTTCCTTCCACTTTACCTTAATGCACTACTTTGTGTTACTCTATCGCACAAAACACCAATAAAACTTAAAGTTTGAGGTTGTGATGTGACAAAATCTGAAAAAAAAATCATGGACTCTTTCAAGTCATTGCTAATAAAAGTATGCAGAGGAAAAGATACATGCTGGCCACTGAAGATACTCTTAAACAGAGACTAGACAGATTGAGCTGCACAGTCCAAGTTTAAGCTTTCCCCTACTCTGTCTGCATTTGCCTGAACTTTAATCTACTTGCCAAGTGACTAACATGCTGACACCTTTCCTCGCTCACAGCCTCTCCCTTTATCTCTTGGCCTTTTTTCCTCTTCATGGTCCCTTGTCAATATCCTCCCTGCTTTATCCCTCTTCATCCTCCATCTTTCCTCCTGTGTCTGTGGCTCAATCCTCAAAAATCTTTGCTTTCCTTCGTCCACTTTCATCGACCTCAGGACATCTGAGCAAGTCAAGTTTCTCTGTTTTCTGTTGTAAGTACTCTCTCTATCCAAACATGGTTTCACTCATGTCCATCGAAGCATGTGCTTTGCCTGCACTGACCGAGGATCTTATGCTCTGATTTGCTCTATATCTTAGTGTGATTATTCCATTTGTCTTGCTAAATCACATACCTGTGTACACATGTGTAACTATGGAAACTGTAAACAATAACACCTTTATAAGGGTTCTTTTTTTTTATAGAAATAAAATTATTTCATCAACGTCATTCTCTTGTTTTGCAGGAATTCCTGTAAAGTGCAGAAATACGATGAGAGCCAGTCGCTGGTCCTCGACGTGTGCAGTCAGGTGATTTTCTTTCTTTACTTTTTTTCATTTTTCTGTCTGGGTGCTTCAATGGAAATATTTTACCTTACTATAGCAACACTGCAGCGTTCATTATTCAGCAGCTGTGCAACCTCTCGGCCTCAGCATACTCCTACAATCACACACACTGTGTCCCACCAGGTGAGAGGGGCATCAGCAGTGTTCCAGCTCTGCAGTCCAGTCTTGGCATGGTGACAGAGTGCTGACTTATCACTCTGCAGCCTCATATTAGTCTGGTGCGCTCATTCCCTGAACATTATGAAAATGACTGTACCAAAACAGAACACTAGATAATGAATTCATCAGAACAGGGGCTCTGCAGCCCGGCTCTTACAGCCCTACAATGACTTTTAATATAAAGTTGATACTAACGGTTACTTTTAGTTTTATTTTTACTATCTCAATCACAAACAGTTTTTTCTGTTTATTTTAGAAAAAGGTCGAAATTTAAAAAACTGCTTTTGTAAAATATAGATTTTTGTCCTATGAAACATAACAGTTAAATACAAACAATGCAGGTCTTTTATGCTCTGGGAAATTCTTATCAGGCGAGGCCGAGAGCAATTATATTAAAGGATGGAAAAGGCTGCAAATACGAGGTCAAGACTGTTCAGGGTTTTTCCATTGAGTGCTACAGTTTTAAAAAAAAACATGATTGCTTTTACGTTTTGTTTCCAATCATTTATTCTTTTAAATGTTGGACAGAATGTATGGAGTGCCAACCATGACTTTAGATCTTCTTTTCTTTTATCAAAAATGCCCACATGCCAAAAAGCTTCATGATGCATTGCACTCTGACAATGTTTTCCAGACCTCCAAATGTAACTAACATCAGCTATAAGATGTTTCTTCACAAATGAAATCTTTTCTTTGTACACCGAACATATCAGGAATGTTTAAAACTAACCTTTATCTAATTTTTATGCAGTTTAGTACAGAAATATGTTTATTTTCTTGAAACTGTTTGCAAATTTACTAAAATTAACAAACATCTTCTTTACTTTAAAAGCATGTTCCCGTGTATTTGCCGCCTTGAACACCGGCTAGTATAAATTTCCCCTTTTCTAAAATGATATTATTTTATTATAATTGTAACCCAGGGAAACAGGAAGATTTGAATCAAAGAAAGAAATTTAAGAACATGTTTGTCTATTTAGAAATAGAAGAAATATTTATGAAAAAGTCCAGTGCTGCAACTACTGATCATTGTTTTGCGACTTATTTAATATGTAGGCTTTTTTCCCCCCAGATTACTTGATCAAGAATAACAAAAACACCATTATAGGAGACCTTTCACAAGATTTAAAGATGGTGAAACTATGTGACTCTAGAAGTTCTGAAAAGGGCATATTTACAGGCAAAAATATATATTTTTAATCTTAACCCAATTCATGTTTGATGCACACGGTTTTAAAACCTCTGCATCATGAGTGGGATTTTTCTTTTAAACATAACTTATATAATCAAAGAGACATGTAAACAGACAGAAATAATGTGGTAAAAAAATGATTATTACTCTTTTAGGGAAAACTGATATTGATTTTCTTTTTCTGTCTTTTGAAAGAATGCTAAAAAAAGGCTGATAATTATTTCATTATCATTTATTTCATGGTTGCTCTTTTAGGAAACAGGAAATTTTAGATTCTGTATGCTCAAGTTTATGATAATTCTATGATAATTATTTTACTTAATCTGATTAATTGTTTAGGTCCTGTTACATTTATTTAAAAGGATTCTTTTCCTCCCCTTGAATAAATGTTTAGCTGCAGTAAATGGCTAATTTATTAAAAGGCTTTTTATACATCAATACCAGTGTTTCCAAAAGCATTCTATTTAAGTATCAGATATCAAGCATGTAGAAAATAGATTTGGTTGTAATAAAGTTAATGTCTTCCCCTCTAACTTCCAGGGTGAAGATGAAGTGGTGGTTCAGACCCCAGAGATCACTCAGCGGGTTCATCACGCCACAGATGAGGAGAAGCTGGCCTCTACCGCCATGATTGGCCAGGATGAGAGAGAAGGGCAGGATTGCAGTAAACCAACCGAGAAGAAACAGACATCCAGTGATTTACCTACTGCTGATGGTAAATTTAGAATGGATAAAAATATAGAAATGCTCCTGATAGAGGAATTCGCTGTGAGCTTAAAGTTACATTTATTTGAGATTTTTGCAAAGGTGATCCCTAAAAAAAAATCAAAATGTGGATTGAGGAAACTGCCAAATCAGATAAAAAGGAGTCCCACCTCATATGATAGAAATGTTTGAAATGGATTAAACTTATGAGTTAAAAATGTAGAAAGATGATGTTGATGCTGTAACATACACAATTGTAGCCATTCAAAATGGCCCTTCCCAGTCCAATGCCAGCTGAATGGCAGCCCACTTCCCTGCAACTCCCAGCAAAATCCCCTCCAATCTGACTCCACCCTTTCACTGAAATACAGGGTCTGACCAGGAGATGATGCTGCTCTTTAGATCTTAATGTCCACAAATCATGACAGAAAGAATATTTTAGTACAAAGATTGATGTTTAAAAAGAAATTTTAGGGGACCAGCTAAGGACCATCCAAGGGCCCATCAAGGAAATTGGGGAAATGTTGAATGACTATTACTGTAAGTTCTCAGCAGCTGCTTTTTAGAGTGTGTCAGATACCAAAACAGAAGCAAATATGAAAAAGGCATGGAGAACGTTTTGTACACAGCCTTAAATCAGCAGAACAGAGGCTTCGTCTGCCCCACATGAAATAAATACAAGATAATTCAGCTGGGAAAAAATGGCTCCCTACATATTGATATTTAGAAAGATATTTGCAAGTGGTGTATGTAATCTTCCAGTTTGATAAAACATTTAAGACCTTGTTTTAAATAGTGATGTTAATTTAATTAAGTTTCTGGTATTATGTGTAACAAAGGAAAGCTGTCACTTTTTATCTGATTGATGAATGCTTCTTTACTCCTGCATTTTTTGTTTATATTATATTAATTATATTAATAATGTATTTCTTTTTTTAAAAGGTCCTGAGATCAAGATTACAGATCATCTGCTGGAGCCGGACACCTTCAGTCTGAAAGATGATCTAGTAGGTGGAGGAAAAGAGGCTGCATGAATTATTGAGTGGTGCTGCTGTCTGCTGCATCACCTGTCTTTAATCTACATGGTTGCTTATGGTGATTTCCTGAAAAAATACATATAATTTTAGACTGAAGACATTTAGCACTCTTTTCCCAGAGTCTTACTTATCAAGACATCTGTTCTTCTGAACTACTGCATGTGGAATTGTTTATAAAGTTTGAAAGTCATAAATTCTGGTGCATCACCTCATATCAGTGTTTGTAATCTTCCACAAAAGGAGATACCGATGCACCAGACTGCTAAACTGAGCAGTGATGACCCTAAGCCAGCAGCTCTGTCACAGGACAGCATTCCTCTGACTGAGATGGACAAAGCTGCAGTGCTGACCCTGATCAGAGAAGAGGTGCTTCACGCCCACGTTCACATACAAAGAATTTGCTTTAACATGATTAACTTTTTTTTTCTGGTTCCCAACTTGACATTCTTTATCTATTTATTTAACTGGGAACAGATCATCACTAAAGAGATTGAAGTCAGTGAATGGAAACGAAAATATGAGGAGAGCAGAGCAGAGGTGATGGAAATGAGGTGGGTAGTTTCTGCTTCTCTGCCAACCTTCTTTACGTTTACAGAATGATACCTTAATAACTGATCAAACGTTATCAGTGATTCAAAAAGACAAAAATAATGTTCACACTTGATTGCTTTGTGCTTGGCAGGAAAATAGTTGCAGAATATGAAGCAACAGTTGCACAGATGATTGGTGAGTTGCTGCCACCTAGTGGTGATTTTATCTCTATAATCTTGTTTGTTCCTCAGACTTTCAAACCAAAGCACTGCATGTCTTCCCCCTCTTTTTAATCATATTAAAGGTCTACTTCCAAATATATATATAAAAAAAAACCTATTAAAGGCCATAAAAGATTAAGAAATTGAAATTAGGGAAAAAAAACCTCAAACTAAATCATGGATCTGTGATCTTTTGACCTTTCAACCTGGCTTAAACTGATAAACATCCGGATTTTTTGTTTTTAGCAGTTTCTCAGTTTGTTTGTGTAATAATTGTATTGAACTTTAACCACAAAGTATCACAATATTTCATTTTTGTGTACATTATATTAGAAATCATATGATTTTATTATAATTTTTTTGGATAATTTGATGTAAATATCTACATCTCGTAAAAGGAAAACGGTTTTAAGGTTTTTGTCTTGTTTTGACACCTTAAATTAGAATCAAATGGTGGTTCTTTAAAAAGACTACAAACAATTTCTGAGGTAGGGGTTTTTCAAAGCTTAAGTTACATATAGCTCAATTTAGGGGGAAAATGCTCTTTGGATTATCAAAACCCCTGATCTATTTGATCAGATTTTGTATAAGACTGTGTTATACTGTTATTCACTGCTTCTCTAATAAGTGTAAAATCTCAAAGCTGTGTTTGTTTTTGCCAAAGCTATATTTTTTCTTATTAACTTTTCCTCAAATTGGAATCATTATGAATTAATCATAATATTTATAATATTAGTATATTAAAGTGTTTCGCTAAAAAAGTCCAGGCAAACATTGGGCTTTCTCCTGCTTCACTGCTGCCAATATCACATCTCACATGTTTTTATGACCTTTCACCTCTACTCTGTCTTCAGGAAGCATGTGATCAATAAAACTGAGGTCAAGTTACAGTGAGCTAAACACAGTGTGATGTTTTTAATGACCAAGGAGCATTGCGGTACAAAGGGCAGCACTAATCTCATCAATCCCTCACAGAAGCATTAGATGATTGTTTTTTTTTTTTTTTTTTTTTTTACATCTTCCATGTAACTTTTTATGTGACAAAACAACTAAAGCTGCTGAGAGTGAAGTGGGAAAAAAAGATACACAATTTGTATTTTCTTTTACAAAATTAGAACCTGTACAAATACTAAAGGACACGCCATGTAGATCAGGAGATGTAGGGAAGGTTACAGTTTAGCTCATGAAACAACACACTCATGTATCCCAGCTGGAGGAAATGAGCTGCGGGTCCTTAGGCAAGACCCTTCATACTAATGCCTGCTTTGGGGAGTGGAGGCCTAGTGGTTAGGGCATTGTGCTTGGAATACTGAGGTTCTGAGTTCAAGCCCCACTCCCACAGGATGCCACTCTGGATACCTGAGATAGGGACCCCCACACTGCTCCCCCAGCCCTGCACAATGGCACTGCTCTGTACTGGTGACAGTGTAATGACAATCAAAAACGCTGAAAAAAAAGAAAAAACTAAGGTGAAGGTCCTAAAACTAGAAAAACTGGAGAGCTTCCTACAGATTATCAATATTTCTGCAGGATCTGAAGAGATTTACAGCTCTGTTAGCAAAAAAAAATAGCAAAGCTATTGGTAAAAGAAATTTATAGGAAGTTTGACACCAGAGCAGCTAACATTATGGGAGAAAATGCTCTCTATAGAGTATGCCAATATGGAAAATTGTGACTTAAAAGGGATAAAAGCAGCTGAGAGAAATCAAGATTGATAGAAATCTGTCCCAGGCTGCAGATCACTTGTTACTGGGGAAGAGCTTCCCTTTAGAGCAACGCAATATCAGCAATTTCCAAATGTCTGGCCGCTTGAAGCAACATCGCTTTGTTAAAAACACATAAAAAAAAAAATCTATTCAACAATAAGATAAAAATGCAATTTGTTAGTTTAAAAATGTCCTCTGATTTCTGAAGAAAATGTGTTAATGGACTAAATTTATAAACCCTCTCTTGAAAAGGCTGACCCCTGAAAGAGCTTTTCACTACACCCATATAAACACCAACATACTTATTCACTCATTTCAGGTGCCTTGCTCACATAGAATTAATCCAACAACCTTGCATTTCAAATTGACTACCAGAGTATTCTTTGTGAGCTCTTCTTTCTTTAATATTACTAGGCCTGCCCAAGGCTGCTTTGTTAAAGAGGGTCTTATTGGTTCCTCATACATTAAGGTTACAATCAAAATAAAGTATGTTGCATATAAACAACAGAAATTAATGTTATGAATAACATTCTTCTTTCTTTAAAGTCAAATTTAAACCTGAAATTATTGTAATAAAGATGTGAGGGAATTTAAGCCCCATATCCAAGATTCATAAAATATCCATGATTTAACTTCTCTTATTACATGATGAATCACAACATTTTATTTTATGTATTTTGTCATGTCTATAGTACCAAGTAGACATTGGTGGTGGTGCTTTGGAGGGTCCTATGCATTATTTAGCAGGCTGAACATTTTCTGTATCTATGGGAGATGTGAATCATTTTCTGCTCCGCTGTCCTACGGGGTCCCCCAGGGTTCAATTTGAGGGCCTTTGCTTTTCGTGTCTGTACCTAGGTTAGGTTGTCTATTAAACCTTTTTTATTGTGTATTGAGCATAATAACCTAGCAGAAATTGTCAGAACCCTCCTGTTGCTCTTTGCTAACTGGCAATGTATCATAAGCCCACAGTAACCTTGATTTTAGACTTTAAACTGATGTAAGAAAAAATGAAAAATTAAGTTTGAAACAATAATTCACACATTCATCACATTGCAGTTTTATTACTGTAATTCCTGCCAAAATGTGTTGTAATATAATAAAATAAGCAAATATTCAGAGCACAGGAATACTTCTGTATGGCTCTTATGCAGTTTTAGGTCATTATAAACCCAGAAGTCCAAAGAAACACACACTGTCAATGTTTCTCTAAATGCTCCTTCATGTTGACCTTAATGTTGTTAAAGCAGGCTTTAGGCCAGAGCATACATTCTGAAGCCTGTCTGTTTTGTTTTTTTTTTTGCAGAGGATCAGCAGCAGAACAAGAGCCTCTCCTCCAGTAAGTCCGTCCGGCAGCTGACTCTAGAGAGAGATCAGGCTGTGGCTGACCTTAACTCCGTGGAGAGATCCTTCGCAGATCTCTTCAGGCGGTATGAGAACATGAAAGGAGTCTTAGAGGGATTTAAGAAGGTCAGTGTGAATCTAGAGAACTGTAGATCAGAATCCTTTAAGAATAAATAAATAAAATCCACTTGCACATCTTGCAATGATACATACAGAATGAGGAGGTGCTGAAGAAGTGTGCACAAGATTACCTGCTACGTATCAAGCAGGAGGAGCAGCGATATCAAACCCTAAAGCTCCATGCTGAGGAGAAGCTGGACAAGTGAGATTTACCATATTCAAGCTGATTTCAAGCTAAATAAAAAAAAATAGATAAAAAATATAAGAAAAGGCATAACATTTGTCGCTTCTCTTTTCTTTCTATTAACGTCCTCTTCATCAGGGCCAATGAGGAGATAGCCCAGGTACGCGCCAAGGCAGATGTTGAGAGCGTGGCGCTGAATGCAAGCCTGAGAAAGGAGCAGATGAAGGTGGAGTCTCTGGAAAGAGCCGTCCTTCAAAAGGTAAGGACATAAAAATGAACAAATCTGACCAGATACACCTAATTCTATGAGTCTAAACACCAGAGGAGGCTAGTAAAGAGTTACAATCACTTGAATACATTTTTTTATACTTCTCCCTTTAGTAGAGAGTTATTTTACTGAAATATTGCTCCTCTTCTCTTGATCTTTGACTGTTCCATCCATCACGACTTCACTGAATAAAAAACAAGTTCCAGACAAAGACAAACAGTTAAAGTTTATGTCAAAATGAGTGCTCTTTTTTCAAACACAAGCTTACTTGAAACTACCATGACATTTGGAGATAAAGCTAATATGCAGTAAGGAGTAAAGAATGTGACTGGTGGTACTGGTTTCGAGGTTTTATGTCAAAAAGAAAATTGGTTTGGAAAAATGTTTCTTCTTCCTGGAATTGTTATTTTTCATTTACATTATTTATTTATTATCCAGTTTTATTATAATCTTTAAAATACCAGAATTTCACATTTTGTTCTGTCTTTATTGCATAATTTTAAATATCAGATGTTGTGAGGTGTATTTGTGTAGCCTTTATCAAATACTTTTTTACTCTCTCACTACTAAGTATAAAGAAGTTGTGTTATTCCAACCTGAGGAGTGTTTCAGCAGGTTGTTCAAAGGAATCTGCCACGCGGAAGTAATTAAAGGAAAGACATTCAAACCTGTATCATGTAGTTGGTTTTCTCTCCACCTGACTGTTCAAACCTCTCATCTCTTCCCATTAAATTTGAGTTATTTTAAGTATTTATTCTTCTAACTTTTAAAAACTTTTATATTTATATTGTTTTGACAGATTAAACTATTTTTAAAGTTGGCCAATTCATCGTGATTTTCCTAAAGCAGGCACCCTCTGGTATGGTCAGATCACTATCATGCACATCATTGTGGAGTTTCTAAAATGCATCAATGATCAATGGAGAAATTATTTATGCGTGTCATAAATGGAATTTTATCAAAAATAAATACTTTTTTTGTCAAATCTATTAAAATTTGAAGTCATATGTCTTAAAACCCTCAATTGTTTAAACAAACACAAATCTTATTCCTGATTCAATGCAGTGCATTACCATAAAATAACAAACACAACTGGTGAAGTAGTTACAGCTTTCTACTAACAGAATGCATATTTTTTTATCTTTAGCATATTTAGCTAATGATGTTTCTTTTTTTATTTCATTTTTGTTATTAAGGTATATAACATATTATTCACTGACTGTAAATCCACTAATCAAAGCGCTATGACACAAAACTAAACCCTAAAGGGCAGTTTTTCACTTCTTCTTAACCAAAGGATTTGAGTCAGAGCAAGAAAGGTGTCCAAGAGAAACTTAAATTTCCTCTTTTATTTTCTTCCTCTCTGACAGAATCAAGAAATTGAGGAGCTGACCAAGATCTGCGATGAGCTAATTGCTAAGCTGGGAACTGATTGAAGAGACTTCAGTGACGTCGACATCTTCAGCGTCCTTCAGCTCGAGCCCAAGATGTTTGTTACAGCATCATGTGATAGAGATCCAGCACAAATGAGAACATGTTAACTGACCACACACGTATTTTATGTTACAAAAGCTACAAAATCATCAGCAGCCGTGTTTTATTTTTACTTTAATATTTAGTCAGTGCTTTTAAAGATTAAATATCATCAAAGTTGTAAAGATTTCTTACAGATCGTTTGTATATTGCTCTTTTGTTTAACCGTCTTCATCATCATTTTATACTGCAAGTTTCTAGAAACTGAGGGCAAAGACGACCCAGGCACTTTTTTCATCCCAGCACATGTTCACCGTAATGACCTCTATATGAAGGCTGTAAAAAAAAAAAGATTTTTACTGAGTGCCTAAACCGATTGAACTTTATTAATTTTCTGCTCTTCTGCATAGTTCTTTTCTTCTGATGGGTTCATATTTACAATTTTCTTAAATTTGTATATATATATATATATATATATATATATATATATATATATATATATATATATATATATATATATATATATATATATATATATATATATATATATATATATATATATATATACCTAAACCTAAAATGTACATCATTATCCATAATTCCTGAGCATGAAGCACTTAAGAAAAACAATCTGATTTGATGATATTAGAAAATGTGGAGTAACTTTATCCTTGTGCCATTTTGTTTTTGTTTTACTCTGCTTATTGGTGGAAAAACCCTCTCAGACTTTTAGTTTTATATCATTTTTGAAGATCAGGATGTTGCTAATGTGATTTTTTTCTCTTTCCTTTCAAGCTGTTGCCAATGTGCACTGTAAGCAGTATGACCATTATGTTTCTAACTGGTTGTAATGAGTTTGCAGTGGTTTGGCCTTTCCTCTGGTTCTTATGGCGTTAGGTGGGGTAGGTGTTCACTTTTACTCCTGCAAAAACAAAACATCCAGCTTATTTCTGGTCTGAACTTGAAGGAGTTGTCATCATAAGCAACCTTTATCTATTGGAAATAAAAGACAGATTTTTGTATGTAAATCCTCTTGTACTTCTGCACAATCAGATGCCAAATATCATCGGGAACTGAAAGAGGCTTTGGTATGACTCCATGTCCCATTGTGATGATGTCATGTTCGCTTGAAGCTGGTTTTCAAAGATAATCTATGTTGTGGTACAATATGTATATTTTATACTTAATGGAAAGAATATTCAGAGTTATGTCCCCCTGATGTTTGTACATGTTAAGAACTGAGTATGCCCCGATTGTATCTAACTGCTATATTTTGTGAATTCTTAAATAAATTGATATGATTTACCAGTATGCTTTCTCTGTTGACCCTAAAACAACTCTTATAGTGTTTATATCTATTATAAATTCAGATTAGTTTGCTTTAAATGCTGAAGCTAAAAAGTAGTCCAAGATAGTGGACTTCCACCAAGATAAAACTCAAGTTGCAAACAGTCCATAAATTCATGCAAAGCTATTGGAAACCCACAGTTTGCTAACTATTTCAACATAGGATCAAGTACTGAGTTAACGTTAGGAAAAATCCTCGGCAGCACCCCACCTCCAAGCTTTAGTTTGAGTGAAAATATAATCTTTGTGCCAAAGGAGTCAAACTTCTTGATTCTTAAATAAAAAAAAAGACTAAAAACTCAATTTCTTGTCCAAAATATCGGCAAGTATACACCTAAAAGGGTGATCATCATCTGAACGTTATGCCCTATCTAAATGTTTTTTGTTAATATCAACATCCTGAATATGTTTAAGTTTTGGACCATTTCAGAAAACCAAAGTGGCCTAATGCTCATTTGTTCTGGTTTAGCTGCAGGATGTTTAGTCTGGTTCAGCATTTCCCTGTTCTGTTGCAGCTTGAATGACACAATGAAAAATTCCTTTTTTTCTTTTTCTTTTACTTCTTCGGCTTAATCCTAACCATAAATCCCATTAAAAGTTAAGAATGGACAGAAAACAGTAGCTCTTTGTTGCCTATTTTCGTCACAAAATTATTCTAAAATTGATAATAATTTGAAAAAAATTGCATCCATTGACGGAACCATTTTTATCTACATTTATTTTCCTTTCAAACATAAAGACGTCTTTTATAGAAATCAAAATAGTAGGAATACCATCAACAATCTGTTCACTAGTTTCAACTTTTCTTTTATAAAAATTGGTAAGTTAACATGCAAAGTCAATAAACATGTGAGGACTAACTTAACTTTTGCAAAGACACTTTTCAACTTATTTCTTTAAACTGGAGAGAGGACAGGCTTATTTTCTTTTACATGTAACTCCTGAAAATTACTATTTTATGCAAACGCTCATAAAAATCCTCTTCTGTCTGCGTTTTCCCTCCACAGGGGGGCGTCCTTGAGCAGCTCAGTGGGATGTTAGGGTGTCAGAAAAGGACTCTTTAATCCTCCCACTCAACCCTTTGGCAACAGTTATTTTTTTCCCTCTCTGTTGACTTTTTGACCAGTAAAATGTGTTTCTTGGCGCGTTGGCTAAAGTTATGAAATGTTCAGTCATACCAAGAGTTTTAAAAATATTCTTCTTCAAAGTTGTCGACTACCCCTGAGTCACAATTAAATAAAAATAATCTAAAATTACGCAAACATTTCTTCGAGTAAAGTATCAGCACTTAAGTGTATTTAATGTTAAATTCTTTTTATGTCCTGACACTAAAATAATTACGAAAAATATATTTAAAAAAATAATAACAATAAAACTAGAGAAACATTTCTTCACTTATTAATAGGTCTTCATATTTAAGACTGATTTTAAATAGGAATTATTGATATAAGAAAACTTTCCAGATTAAATAGAGAGGCGAAGCGGATTGGCTGTGGAGTTATCCAATAATAATTACCGTGAGGGCAGGAGGCGGGGTCAGGATGCTGAGGCGTCCTCTGATTGGCTGTTCTCGGTAGTGAGTAGTGGTCATGGAGGGGGCTACCAGCTGTGCTGGGAGGCCAGATAAAACAGCCTGGAAAGTACTAAGGAGACAAAGAAGCGCTGCTGTAGCCTCCATCCCTTCCAACAGGTTAAAAACCACCCAACCAGAGTCTGCTTGTTCCTCTGCATCACAGTAAGTCTTCCTTCTTTGTTTTATCTTCTGCAAACTGCTCGAAACCCTTTTTAATTGTTGCCTGATAACTTTTGTAAAGACATTTTTCATGATTACTCTGTCTTTGCAGTTTAAACCTATATAAATGAACTTAGTTTTTTGGGGGCTCATCTAAACTTTTAATTTAAAAGTTAATGGCAAATAAGCTAACAAATAAAGTCACATTGGATATATCCATTCAGCTATAAGTGATTTTTAATTTCATGCTTTCTGAAGCCATACGAACTGTTTTTCTTTACATTTTCTACACACAAATATTAATCTATTTTATTGATTGTTTTTTTTAGACAGACAGACACAGAGTTATCTGTTTATTTCTACACATAAAAGTTGTTCTATGTTGTTCTTCTAACTGTCAGAAGTCATTTATTAAGTCATCATTACACTAAATCTGTTTGTAATTCAATCTCAGCATCAATCCAGATGTTCTGTAAAGGCATCACAGGTTTGTTGGAAAACATCATAGTAAAAAAGATGCACCATTTAAAAAAAGGATTTTATTTGCAGGTTAATATTTTGAAAAGTAAATCTGAACTCAAATATATTTAGCTGTGCCAATGAGAAATAAAATGTAAGTTGACTAATAGTTTCTGGGAGCAAATTATTAAGATATTAGGAGGTATGAAGCACAATACATCAAACATTAAACATCTTTTCAATCTGCATCATCTCCAGATAGAAAGAATATGGTAAAACTCCAACACCCAAAATCAAATTCTACCCCACACACACACACACACCCCAACCCCAGTATCACCAGATTTCCATGGGAACCTGGAACCATGGGAATGTTATCAAAATCAGGGCTAGAATAAAGCATGTTGGTGGCAGTATGGTGCTGTGGGGATGTTTTCTCAATCAGGGTTTGGTGACAGACTGTGAAGGTTTATTTTCCAGTGACACTAACTTGCAGTCAGAGCGCTTGTTCATTAACTTTGGGGTATCTTTAATCAAAGGAACTCTTTTCTTTTTTTCCTTTCAAAAAACATCACTTCACCGATTCATAGGATAAAAAAGGGATAGAGAATTGTCACTAGGAGGCCTTTAAAGTTTCCTGCTGTCTATAGTAATATTTAGGGGAGCTGAACCGCATGTTTTACTTTGACTCCCCAGCGACATCCCACGCAGTTTGACAATTTATTGACCTTTCACCCAAGGAGGTGTTTATACAAGCGTCTGCAGTTTGCTGGGCTTTCACCATGACGTCAACTCGGAAAGTTGCCCCCCCCATTCCTTACCTAATGAAGAGTTTTCCTCCTAACTTTCTTCTTTCCATACCTTAAGTCCCCTGGGGGGGTTGTGGTCCCAGAGCCGACAAGTTCAAAGCTTTTCATTAAATATTTGGTTTCAGTTTTCTCTCTTTGCTGAAGTTCAGAGAGTTCACATGGACCTCGAGTCCCAGATCAGCAGATAAAGAGACATTGAGCGCCCTGTCTTCAGGAGCTCCCATTTATCTCCCAGTTAGACAGATAGAAAAAGGCCTGATGTTAGTTTTCAACCAAAACACTCCAACTCTTGCTTAGAGGCATTTTTACTGACAGAACTTCAAGTTTTTGATTCAGAGTTTATATTTATTAGCAGAATAAAAACCATATGCTGAAAGCAAGTGTGGTAAATTTTGGTTCTATACTTGTGGTTTCACTAAGGGCCTGTGGAAACGTGATATGATGGCCAAACCAGGATTTTATCATGGCTCCCACTTATTCCCTGACATCATATGCAAAAAGCAGCACAAAGAAACCCAAAAGTGTCTGTTGACAACAGTTTTGTAAAGCAGATAATAAAAGTCACATGTTGTCGTATCTCTCTGTAGAAAACTCATCTTGTCTCCAGTATGGTGAACCAACTCTTAATGGCGTTGCTATGCATGTCGGCACTGATCAGTGCCCAGACAGACCCCAGCAAGCCTGCAATCCAGCTGCGGCTAGCGGGGGAGAAGAAGAAACACTACGAGGGTCGAGTGGAAGTTTTCTACAACGGAGAGTGGGGGACAGTGTGTGATGATGACTTCACCATCCAAGCTGCACAAGTGGTGTGCAGAGAGCTGGGCTTCATGGATGCTGTGTCCTGGTCTCCTTCAGCCAAGTTTGGAAAGGGGGAAGGTGAGAAATGAAGGCTCTGTTGTTAGAAATTCTCCTAAATGAGTGAAATCGATTGAAAAACTTCCTGAAATGTAACCAGAGGAGCAGGGATCAGGGGTTTTTAGGATGTTGGTGGGTGATCTCTGACTCCTACAACCACATACATTTAGAGGCAGGCAGCATATGTCTGCTCTCAGCTCCGTTTGCTCCCTGGGAATCTCTGAATGAGTTCCAGGTTTTCCCCGTCTGAGAGGTAATCCCCTCTGGCGCTGTTTTCCTCATCAGCACATCCGTCCGCTCAGACTGGCGATCCACTGGAAGTGCTGTGACCCAGACATAAAAACTCCTTCGTTTTTTGCTTTTTTTTCTCCATCTTATATTGTTTCATCCGTTGCCTTAGAAACATAGATGGCATCCTCATCTCTGTTTGTTCTGTCAGTTGCTATAAATTCAGCCTGGACTGCTGTTAAGGCCCCACTCTTCCTCCTCTAGGATGAGGACTTGCTAATTAAAGGCAGAGTAACTAGATTTCCAGTTAAATTCTTGAAGTACAGCAGTTATTATGGAAATTTCGGTATAATAGCTACTTTTATTAACCCCAGCAGGCCCACACATGTCATGATGTCAGTATTGTTTAGAATTTTTGTAAAAGATAGTAAATTAATCATGGGTTCATTGACTTTTAATCTCTAAATAAGGATAGAAATTTTATTTTGTCCAGTTATGTGATGTTGATTGTGTGGTTTTTGCCACCCTCAGCGTTTAGCACATGAGTGAAAAAGTTTTAAATGTGCTCTCGTCTGACCAGAGTACATTCCTCTACATGGTTTGCAGTTTTCTGCAAACCAGACTCTTGCAGGTTTTTTTTTTTTAATAACTGTTGCAGCTCTTACGTAAAAAGCCGTATTTGTTTTAGCACCCATCTAAATACATTACCCCTTACCCTGAGCTGGGAAAAACTACCCCCTCCTCCAGACATGCAGAGTTTGCGGTTGTGATAAAATGACAAAATGTTGGAAAGGTTTAATGAGGTGAAAACTTTTGCAATGCATCTGCATCACCAGAAACTCTGAAGAGACACATTGCCAAAGGAGTTTGATCTACAGCATAATTGTATAACAGTAACTTCCTTTTTAGAACAATATAGTTAATCGACTATTATTTAGAAGTTTTAGTTAGACTGGCTGATATTACTATCCTCTATTTCTTGGCTAACTTTGCAGTAATCGCTCGTTATTAAAATGATTAAACTGTGCTCTTTGCTTCTCTCTGAGGGCCTTTTAAAATCCCGGAAAACATTTAAATCGTTTTTTTACTACTGCATTAATCACTGGTATTTTTTGCTCAAAAGCCCGTAGAGACTTTGCTGGATCTCACCCCAAAATCAAAGTCAATTTTTGTGCTGTAAGATTCCTCCATCCAGAGGTAATGGAGGGAAAGCGCTGTGTGACCATGCAGTCAAAGACTTGGTATGATCACAATGTTCCTCAGGAACATGTGGAGTCTGTCTAAGGGATGGCAGCACGTTGAAGGTTCCCATGACTACAGCGGCGTGGTTTTCCTCATGCATGGTTTGGATCTGCCAGCTGTGCAGCAGAAGATCGCTTCAGTCTGAGCGGGTTTTAGTCACGTTTTGTCAGCCAACTAACTGCTACCGACAGTAAGCACCATTTCTTCAATTGAAATGCTAAGAAACTTGTTGAGGGAGAGTAATTCCAGGCTAAAGCTGTCAGGTTTGATAGAAAAGCTTCCCTGAAATTTCATTTTAAAGCAGCAAAGTGTAACTTTTAACCACTAGGGGCGCCAGACCTGTAACTAAGAGGTTTACATCCCTGAAGGCTATGGGCAGCATAATAAAACAGTTTCAGTGGTGAGTTTTTATAACCTAACAACAGCTTTTTAAGGTTAGCTCTTGTGTTAAGGGAAGCTCAGACCGCCATGTAACTTACATAGAGGAGCTTTTAAGGAGGGCGGCTCACATGAAGCTTTAATGCATATTAAATTAAGCAAAAATGTGGGCTTCACACATTTTGCTTTAATAAAGTGATTATCTAGTTAAACTGAAACCCAAGAAGACATATGTATTACAGCTGTGTGGGGGCAAGAGGCGGCATACACCCTGGACAGGTCGCCAGTCCATCGCAGGACAACACAGAGAAAAACCATTCACACACACCTAAGGACAATTTAGAGGAGCCAATTAAACTAACAGTCATGTTTTAGGACTGTGGGAAAAAGCCAGAGTACCAAGAGAGAACCCACGCATGCTCAGGGAGAACATGCATACTCCATGCAAAAAAGACCCCAGGCTGGGAATCAAACCCAGAACCTTCTTGCTGCAAGGCAGCAGTGCTACCCACTGCTCCACTGAGCAGCCTGTATTTTTCAACTTCTTTAGTAAAAACCGAAATGCTTTAATGTCCTCTACTATCAACCGCAGTCAAAGCACAGCAGGAGCTCTACCTGCTGGCAGTTTGTAGCTGATTGCCTTTTGTTGGTCAACTTGTTGACTGATCAGATTCTCTGCTGCTGTGCTAAACTGTTTCAGATCTTATTCCAGGGAGCTGTACTACTTTGCTTTATTTGTTTATTAATCTTAGTGAACACTCATCATACCCACAGTGCCTTTATCTTTATGCTCTTCTTTACATAGATTATGGAGGATTAAATCCATTATGTTGGTGAATATTTGCAGTCATTGAGCTCATAGTAATTCCAAAAATGTAAAAAAAAGTGTAAAAAAAAAACATTTGGACTTTGTTTTCCACTTTTTGCTTCCCTTTTAGTAAGCTTTTTCAATCAAAATGTCAGAATTAGCATTGAGTTCAAAGCTTTATAGAGTGGCACAAAAAAGCCTTGTTATTGTTAGAAAACAATTTTCATGTTTCTAAGCCATAAGAAGGCTTTGTTGGTCCACACTTTAGAGCTTGGAACTCAACGCTAATCCAGACATTTTGAATTGAAAAAAGCTTCCTAGATGGGAAGCGAAATGTCTTCAGACTTGGAAAATAATGTCCAGTGGTTTGTTTTTTTACTTTTTGGGAATTACATTCCTGACTATCAATAAGGGATGTAATGTCTCCACATGAATCCTTTACTGAGTAAATCTGTCCGTAATGTCACTCAGTAGATAGTTCAGAATTTCCTCCAGTTTGATGCAGAAAATATAGAGGAGAAACCCGGCTGCAGTGATGGAATTCATCCATGAAGTCTATAATGAAATCATCCTGGTGCCATCTTGAAAATATTGCCTGATCAAGGGGTTTCCCGAAACAACAGAAAAGAAAAAACAAGAGAAGGCTTTTACTTTGTAGGTTAAGAATATTCGCCCCCAAACACAAGACATCATTTAGACGTTTGTTTGATTTAGTCAAGATATAGTTGCTGAAAATTTAACTGTGTTGGTCAGTCTGATTTTGTCCCACATTAGTGCAATAATCTGAAAATTATGGCTTTTCACTTTTCAACCAAATGTAGATGTCGTTTGGACGAAAATAATTAGTTTTCAAATGTTTTCAACATGTTTTTGTTTGGTGGCATGCAATGAGTTCTTTGCAAAAATAAATCAGACTGCTGCAGCCTGTCTATAATGCTGCTGCCACAGTCCTGATCAACATCGGAAAGTTAAATCATTACATATCAGTATTTAAGTCGTTGTACTGATTCCCTGTGTATCTAAAAATAGATTTATATCTTAGGGTTGCTTTCTAAGGAACTGAAGCACCAAACTATCTAGACCAGGCCTAAGAGATTTATCATGAATACAGATTATACTTATCGTAATATTAGTTAGCTGTATTTATCCTACTTTAGATTTGACCAGCTGTTGGCTAAAATATTCCAAGAGTTATGAACCTACATTTTTTTTTCAATAAGGAACTATTTGTAATTAACTGAGACAAAGACATTTCTCATATTGCTAAAGGCCAATAAATGATGGAAGCACAGATGAAAATAAAAGGATAAGCACATACAATTATGGATATTTACCAATATTGTGGCCTTCCAACTATAGCCTAGGGTCCTCAGATCATCAGTGATCCAATTACTTCCTGTTTTATACTTACTCCAGGGAGTCAGTTTTTAGCTCCTATAATTCTAAGATTTGGAATCAACTCCCCGACTGAACAGATGTCTTTTAGAAGCAGCTCCTTGAAGTTATGACGAAAGTAGAACCATTTTTATTGCAGTTTTTAAGAACTTCAGTTATTATTTTGCTAATTCCAAGCTATCTTAGTGATGCTTAAAATGTAATATTTGTTTACCGCATTTCTTTCCTCTATTTTCTTTTCTCTTGTTTATTATTTTCCTGTAAAGGAACCTTTATCACTGAGGGGAAAATATGCAAATGTAAAAGTCGTTCTGGAGAAATGGTTAGCTATGTAAAAGTAGTTCACATCTGTAGAGAGAAATTACATGGAAAAAAACAGTTAAAATGTCCCTATTACTATTAATCAATAAAACCCGACTAATGGAAGTGGGATCATCCAGTCAATTCAATAGAATTCAATTGAATTATAAAGCGCCAATTCACAACATATGTCATCTCATTGCACTTTACAATTCAACCAGATCGATTCAAAGTTTTCAATATAAAGAAAACCAGTTGATTGCATCGACTCATTGACTCTTCAGCTGTCCCTCATACCAAGCATGCTTGTAGCGACAGTGGAGAGGAAAAACTCAATTTTAACAGGAACAAACCTCCAGCAGAACAAGGCTCAGTGTGAGCGGCCATCTGCTGAGGCAGACTGAGGTTCAAGGAGACAGAAGCAGAGATAGAAAAGGACACTGTCAACCAGCTCCACAGGCAGCCTTTGAAAACACACAGCCACGCAGACGAGCTCTGAGCCAGCTCCCAATTCAAAGAACGAAAAGAGCACATTCAGCCAGTCACAGTAAGAGAAACACACTACACTGAAAAACAGGACGAGCTCGAACATCTCTAAACAAAGGTGTTGATGGCAGCACCACTGCTGATATTTCTCTTCAGGATGGAGTCACAGCCAAACAGGAAGAGACCAGATGAAGCTATTATGAGAAAAAGCAGAGAGAGCATAATGTTAGTGATTGAACCAACAGATTTTGCAGTGGGAGAATAGAGACAGAATGAAGCAGAATGATGAAATAGGGGTCCCTATGTCCTCCAGCTGTCTAAGCCTATAGCAGCATAGCTATAGAGATAGCCCTGGATAACCTGAGCATCTCTAACTATAAGCTTTATCAAAAAGGACAATTTTAAGTCTACCCTTAAAAGTAGACAGTGTGTCTGCATTGCTCATATATATTCCACAGGAGAGGAACCTTTACCTTGCTGGATATTGGGTAAAAGACTTGATAGAGCCTTCATGTGCTTAATCTTATCTCTCCGTTTTAAATATTATATTGTCTTTGCTTTTCCTTCTCTACCATTTAAAAATAAATGCTTTGAATTACCTGATACATATTTGCTATACAAATAAACCTGCCTTCTTTTTTGCTGCAGGTCATATCTGGCTAGACAACGTGCACTGCACCGGTACAGAGAAGAGCCTGGCTCACTGCAAGTCAAACGGTTTTGGAGTTTCTGACTGCAAACATTCAGAGGATGTCGGGGTGGTGTGCTCCCAGAAACGCATCCCAGGCTTCAAGTTCATCAGGAACCAGGCACTCAGTGGGGAGGTAGGCTCACAGAGACATCTGCTGTATGAAAATGATCAAATGTGCACTAAAAGCATGGTTCAAGTTCACACATGTAACCACAGATAGACAGAGGACAGGCTTTGGATGAAAGAAAAGTCAAGTTTTTATTCAAATCGTTCCAACTTTTCTCTCAGGGATTGTACTCTAATAAATCATGGTCTTATCACAAGCTTAACATCTTTATCAGAAATCTCATTTCGATTAGACTCAAAATTTTACTGCTCATTTTTTGGTGTAATAAATACAGCTAACTATTCTATTTCTGGTCTAAAAAGTCTCCCAGTGACTCACATTAGTATATTAAGAGTGTCCAGACCTGAGCGGCGCTCTGCAGGCCAGCAGATCATGGTGATGACTCAGAGCATAGGAATATCATCCCGTCTGCCTGCAGAAAGCTCCTCTGTACCGGATGGAAAGTCAGTGTGGGCTTGTGAACGTGACAGTAGGAGAGGAAGGGAGGGAGGGAGTTTGAGGGAGACGATGCAGACATTCCTTCAGCATGTCTGAAAACAAGTGGCCAAAAACAAGCTGCTGGAGTTTGTGTTGCTTCATTTTCACTTAAAACTGAAGCAGCGTTCGTTTGGCAGCTTCAAAGAAAGGCAGTGCTTTCCCCACATTCATGCTGGAGAGTTTTTGTTTGTTTATACATGATGTGTGGTGGAGGTGTTGGCTGCAGCAGCCAGAACAGTGAATATATGTTTGCTTCAGTGTAAAGTTAAGATAACATACTGAAGGAAAGAAAAAAATAAAGAGCTTGTTTATCATTTGCTTGCCTTGTTCCGTGTTTGGAATGATGGAAATGAAGGAGAGGTGAGATTAAATGCTTAATGTGGGCTGCTGAACACACTTCACTTATTCCTATGTTGTTTTTACAGGTTGTACATGTCGGTAACACCTCCTTGTTCTCTATGTGCTCAGTATGTTTAGGCTTTCTGGTGTGTTAGTGCAGTTCAGTCCCCCACCCTGTAAATATTTCTTCAGTCTGACCAACGTCTTTTAAGTCTCAGAGAAGAGGAAAAGGGAAAAGGTGTAGCTACACCTCTTTAGGGCTGCTTGACCTGACAGCAGCAATGAGCAACCTGTTTATTCTCAGCATGAATCGACATTTTGTGTCGGGTCTAAAATAGTGAACATTCCCAGCTGTGGGCATTACCACCAGTCAGTGGATAAAACCGTCCACCTGTTTTCTTATCCCTTCAACTTGTCCACATGTTACAAACTTAGAGGTATTTCATATGGATCATGTGGGATAGATCAGGAGTTCCCAAAGTAGAGGAAGTTTACCCCCCCAAGGGCTGTCTCAAAGCCCCTGGGGGGGATGTAATCCCTAAGTAGAGAGAAAAATGTATCATTAAATATCATAATTATGAGCGTCTAATGAAATAAGTTGATGTAACATTAAATGATCTAATTACATGATATAAATATGAAAAATACTGGCATTAATGCACTTTCACATTTTTCCAACCACCATTAAACTTCACAAAGAAGAAGTGTTAAAAATACAAACAAAAGTCCTATTAAATGTTTAAAAATACGTCTGAAATGATGAATTATACAATTAAATGTTATTTATAACTATTTCACTTTATGCATAATTAAATGTAGAGTAATTCTATGCATTTGTTTTGGGGTCCTCATACAACTTTTTCATCCAAAATATGATACTGGTATTGCAGCTTTAATTAGCGAATGATCCGATATTAGTATGTAATAAAAGAAAAGGATTGCTCAAGTGACCTTCCTCAAACAGCTGACTCATTTCTCATTCACCAAAGAGCTTTCGGAGATGTTAGAGAAATATTCTGATATTCATTTATTGATATTGGGGAGTTTTCTCTCATATATGTATCGGATTGGGACAGCCCTACTATTTTTATGGGGGGTCTCCAGTCTGTTGTTTTGCTATTTTTTTGATACAGGCTGAAATGTTTGGGATCTCCTGGGATAGATTGACGGATATCTGTGATGTCTGCATCCAAAGCCAGACTGCTTGTATGTCTGCATACAACCACAAACCTACACTTCAACACTGAAACAGTTAAAATCATTCAAAAGCAGGTTCATACGTTGACTGAATCTGTATTTAATCAAATTATTCACCTATTTAGGATTGTGTGTTGAGATATCTTGTTGTAGAGCTGCCGTCTGTTGCTAACCATCTGCTCCATATGCTTTGAAAGGATGCATTAAATAAAAAACAAGTGTGCTGATCCCCATTTTCACTTACTGGTGGTGAATCTGACATAGTGGAGAATTTACAAATCTTCCTTTGGAAAATAAGCTTATATGAGCAATGCAAACAGGAAATTCTAAGCCGTGCTTGCACGAGAAGAAATGGGCTCCTGCATGCTCTCGCATGCATTTAAATAGCGTTGCCTATCAGGAGCGGGTACTCGGTTGTGCATGTGCATTTTTTTTTAAATGGAGAGGGCGGAACTTTTAAAAAGTTCGCAAAGATCCCCCTCTTTACCTTTGATACTTGTTTTAAAGTTTTGCAAGACTTTTGATGTGTCAGAAATATTGCAAACCATCTATCTTTTTCATTCTCCTTCATTATTAGGCACTAATTTTAACTTTTCCATCTCATAAAAATCAACTTAAATCCATATAATTTGGATGTAATGTTTGGAAACTTCAAAGGGTTTGAATACTTTGAAAGAAGCTGCACTATTTGGATTTAGTGTCAAAGTATTATTATTGACTAATCTGAAAGCATACTTCCAATTTCAAATGGTTATCCCCTAAAAGTATAATAATAGACCAATCATTCCTGAACAATAGAATCATCATTATTAATTTAACTAAAGTATTTTTATAAGCCTCATCAATAACAGAATATTAATCTGTACCAGCCTAGTTTTCCACGGTGCAGTGTTGTTGTTGTTGTTGTGTACTAATGACTGATGTGGTGTTTCAGATGATGGTCAGTAGGATATTTTCCCTCTAATTAAGTGGGGATGATCTACCCAGCTGTGCAATGTTGTGACGTTCATGCTGGAAAATCAGCGTGCAGAGGGGGAGGACCTATTTCCAGATAATTAGATGGTGCAAGTTTGATAGCAGTCATTCTTAGAGGATGTTTTTGTATTTTCCGGCACGTTTTGTGCCACACTTTACCTGTGCTATCATTATGTAATAATGTTTTTGTGATTAAAAAGGTGCAGTAGATGGAAAGGTAGGCTCACGCTGGTTTAAAGGACTCTGAGAATGGTGTGAAAGCTTTTCATGTTTGTTTTAAAAATGCTGTCGACTCTAACCATTTTTAAGAATTGGTTGCATTCTGCTGAACCTTACGATAACTGTATGTTAATTATTTCATTTATTAGCGTTTTCTGAAACCAGTCTTTGACAAAACAGTGTTATAGACAATTTTATCAATGCTTAGATCATGCCTTCTTAATCAGGGTCTTCCTCTTCACCCAAAAAAGACGCCTGCATCTAGAATTACAGTTCAAAGATCAACACTTCTTCATTCTGTGTAAAATTACTCCAATTATATTTGATTTAATTGTGATTTAATTTGAACCTCTTTATTTCTTGTTGCTTATTTCAAACATGAGAAAGAAGTAAACTAAAAGGTACGCCGAGATTTTGGGGGCGAATGTTAACCCTTTGCTATTGTACCGGCATCAGCAGATTCATGCATGCATTCAGCAGCCATGCTTTGAAATCATGTGAAGGGCATGCACTGTTGCTCCCTCCATATGATATCCATTGTTATTCTTTTGTTTCATTTGCCAGTTAATATTTCTTTTCATTGAAATTAAGACTTGTATAACTTTTTTTTTAAACAATGGCCCCATTTGTATTATGTATAAAAAGAAAAAAACAAGCAATATTGGCCTTAAAAAATATGCAATCTCCATATTTAGGGAATTCAGACTGATGTCAAAATAATCAAGTGTTGGCATCTACTAGTCCATTTCTAGACTAAATCTAAGTTGTTGACTCGCTTTTTTAATTGCTTGTTCTCTTGCATGTGTTTTAGCACGACAGTGACTCTTCAGTTAAAGTTGGCAGAGAAAGAACATTTTGTTCCTGAAGCGATGAGTTAAAATGAAGCAGCTGCAGTCCTCCAGAGCATGTTTGCTTGAACAAACCAGATACCCTGGGACTCATCAGTTAAATTTCAGACTCCAGCTGAAACAGGAGAACACACCAGTTAGGTGGTTTTAATGCAATAAAACTTGGCAAAGGTTATGCACCTTCCTCTATTCTCATGGTGACAGCTGAGCAGGAGTTTGATTCGCTTTCAGCAACATGCTTTAAACAGAAAAGGATGGAGGGGTGATTTATGTCCGGAAACTCCAGTACCAGCAGTTAGAGCACATGTTGAGCAGCTGGATCCTCTTGTTGCTTTATTTCTCCTTTGTGTCTCACATTAACCAAGCGGAAGATCCCAGTTTTATGAGGTGGTGTCTTCACAATGTTAACCCCCTCACAGGGGACATATATCACCAGCAAATGTGATTCAAAACTGAAGTCTTTATGTTGCAAAACTTGAACCATAAGTGTTAATGGGTTATTAACAGAGATAAAATTATGTCAGGTTTTATTATAATTTGGCATAGGGAAATATTCTAGTTGGTTGATATTGGATTTCATGTCAAACATTTAGTCAAGTTCTAGTTTTTATAGTCACTGCATGAAAAAGGGTACCTGCATGTGATCTACAGTATGATGCTTCTAGTTGTGAAATTTAGATTCCTGCCTGCCTAGCTTCAGTTTTATTGGTTATAAATTACTGCCAAACTAAGGCCAAAATGGAAGCTGGACACTAAAGACAATCCAGATGCAAAGCCTACCAGTTATCAGTCACGTAGGTTTGGCAGTCTGGGGTCCAGTGAGGCAGGAACTGGGGTGTGGCAGATGTGAAAGTCATTGCTGAAGAGTCTGGCTGTTCGTCTAAACTGAAGCGTGATCAGTGTTCATTCCTGCCAAGTTTTGTAATGTGGGCTGGACAGCAGGAGAATGGGCGGGGCGCTTTTTACACACGTGTTGTCGAACGTGCTGAAAAAAGGAGGCTGTGGAGGCTGGATAGAAAATCCCAGTAGTGGAAGCGTTAGTCAGAGAGCGGCTGAACCACAGCCTCATGTTCACACACCTCCGTTCTGAGGGAGGCCCGGTCAGAAAAAATTCTGCTCTTCCTTTGGAAAAACTGTAGCTCAGTTTAGTGACTAACTCCCTGAGGGTCTGCTCTCCTGTCTGCCCTCAGTTACCGCCTACGAACAAGAAAATCCTTTAAAAGGATTCCTGACCAACATTACTGACAATGACGTACAGCAAGATTCAGCAAACGTGACGAAATATTCATTAAACTTTCCTACATTTGGATGACCTGATCTAATAATAACTACTTGGGAGTTGGTTGAACCTGATTATGTTTTTACATAACCCACTGAAATTATTACAATAGTACATGCTTGTATGTAGTCAAAACTGAGAAAATAGGAAAAAGAACATAAATTCAGAGTGGATGGAGAAGTCAAAAAGGCATTTAAAGAAGTTGATTCTCCATATTTAAGATTTGTTTGTGTGGTATGGTAAGCTTCAGCTATTTCCCTCTAAAAGTTGGCTTTATAACTTAGCACTAGTTAAGAAGAAGCTCCAAGCAATATGTTGGGTCCATGCGTCACGCTGAGTTAATCCTTTATTTTTTATACAGCATTAAAGGTAACCTAGATGAGGAGCTCCCAGCCTCCTTATTCACCCTAACTTAAAAAACTATAATACATGCTGTTTTAATAGATTTCCCAAATTTGTAGCTCTTTTAACAAATCCTGTAATCATTTAAGATTAATAAAGTCCAAGTTAGATCTGTTTAGTTTGAATTAAGCTAGATCTAAGGTTGTTCTGATACCAACAAAACTAGAATAAATCCTTTAAACCAATACAGTAAAGGTTTAACAAATCTAATGTGTTGATTTTAGTTCTGACATTTCTAGTTCCATTTGGTTGAAGGCAATCCAGACTCTTTATTAATCTTGTCAAACAGTAATTCAGTATATAGAACTGCTTTGTGTCATTTTACGTTTTGTATTATTGCAAATCTTCATATTTTTTAGAGCTTAAAAATGAGACAGTTTATGATGTCTCTTTGGTCTGGACCCCGCAGAGCTAAAAACGATCTGGTCTGTATAGTTGGGGTACAGCCAGATGGTATAAAGCTGAGTTTATGCTTGGTGGTCAGGGTTCGGGAGGCTGGTGGGCGCCTGGAATGATCCCAGCTGTGCATATCTGTCCACTTCTCGTCAGTCCCACAGATTCAGACAGCCAGTTCTCCAACTTTGAGCTAAATGCAGCACAGCTTAAAGCCGTCTCAGTTCCTCTCTTCTCACCTAACCTCTGACCTGCCATTTGTCAAAAAATGTCATTTTTCTTGCATTTTTTACTCATTTTTTGTACTAAAACCTACAAGCTCAGTTTATTTTGCTTTTAATTTGCAGACAAAGTAACAATTAAGATCTAGAGCGCCAAGTCTTTGATTATGGTAAAGTATCTGACCCGTCATCCCTGCCAAGAACAGACAGAAAACACTCTGTCACGCTCTGACTAGAAAGACTCCCTTGGTGAAAGGGTAGTCTTTACCCGGTCTAACCGCTGCGGTCAGTGGGAGGACCAGGGTTCTTCCTGAGATGTTGGAGACTCCTCCTGCTCCGCAGTCATGAATGCTAAGAGACCGTGAAGCCTTGAACATTCCCCGAGGCTGACGCCATGTCAGGAAACCACTTTGTGGGCAAATGTTTAATATTCTGGGAAACATGCCGGACTTAAAACTGGATGTTACAAAAGCACCACGTTCAGCAGTTTAAAAAAAACATCTACGAATCCAAGTTGTTTTTGGCATCGAGGGGTCAACCTCACACCCATTTGGGAGCAAAGGACAGAAGCAGAACAATGCCAGAGTTATTAACTATTTTCAAATTAAGGTCTTGAGGTGAAAGGTAACCCTTCCCATTTGATTCGTCAGCAGCTGGCTGAGTGTAACCTTAAGTAGACAGAGAAACCTTCACTGCTCTCATCAACTACACTCACGGTTGGATCTTCTCTGTTTACCAGAATTTTCATATTTCGAGTATGAATTGGTTTAATTTGTAGCATGTGTGAAATCTAAGAATTTCACAAGAATTTCCCCTCCAGTAAGCTGCCTCTTTCCTCCCTGAAGGGCTTCACATTTCTTGACTGATAGTCAACGGCTGTGTTGTATTTATCATATATCAAGTGGACATGATGTGTGCCAGTTCCTGTAAATAACACTCTGCAGATATCTTACCAGATGGCGATTTATTTGCGATTATGTTCCCTTTTCTTGTTGCATAACCCCTGTTTATAAGCAAACACTCTGGGTCTGGATAGTCTCTGGGGAAAGCAGGATGCCACAGAGCTTGATGCAACGTGGAACGGCACGTTTTTCAAAGCAGGTTGGAGAAACGGGATTTAGTGTGAGGAGGCTTTATATGACGAATCCTGCAGATGAGTGATCAAATGAGGTGTTATATGCAGATTGTTTTAGGTGATTCCCAAAATAAAAAACAGTGATGGGCATAAGCGTTGCACGTGACTGTGCCCTGGAATGAGCTGCAAGTCCTGCATCTGTAAAAGATGATTGTATACTACAAGTCTAAATGGATAGACGCTATGTAGGCATTCTACAGGCTGTAAACAGACCAATATGATAAAAGTTTTAGTTGTTATGCTCAGTACCTCCAGTGTTTTTCTGTGGTTTTGTGCCCCAAAGGATGTTTTTGTGGCTTTTTTTTTTTTATTATTTATGGTTTTTTTCTGTTTTATGGCAAAAACAATAGACTTTCTTAAAAAAAAAAGACAAGTTTTGCATAATCAGATTCATAATCAGAAATACTTTAGTAATCCCAGAGGGAAATTACATTTGTTACACACTACAGTTACAGTTTATATATATATATATATATATATATATATATATATATAAATATACAACAAACAACACATATATATATATATATATATATATATATATATATATATATATATATATATATATATATATATATATATATATATATATATATAAAAAAATATATACACATATAGCTCTTCTGTGTATATATATATATATATATGTATATACACTATATTGCCAAAAGTATTTGCTCACCTGCCTTGACTCACATATGAGCTTAAGTGACATCCCGTTCCTAATCCATAGGGTTCAATATGACGTCGGTCCACCCTTTGCAGCTAGAACAGCTTCAACTCTTCTGGGAAGGCTGTCCACAAGGTTTAGGAGTGTGTTTATGGGAATTTTTGACCATTCTTCCAGAAGCGCATTTGTGAGGTCGCACACTGATGTTGGACGAGAAGGCCTGGCTCTCAGTCTCCGCTCTAATTCATCCCAAAGGTGTTCTATCGGGTTGAGGTCAGGACTCTGTGCAGGCCAGTCAAGTTCATCCACACCAGACTCTGTCATCCATGTCTTTATGGACCTTGCTTTGTGCACTGGTGCACAGTCATGTTGGAAGAGGAAGGGGCCAGCTCCAAACTGTTCCCACAAAGTTGGGAGCATGGAATTGTCCAAAATGTCTTGGTATGCTGAAGCATTCAGAGTTCCTTTCCTTGGAACTAAGGGGCCAAGCCCAGCTCCTGAAAAACAACCCCACACCATAATCCCCCCTTCACCAAACTTTACACTTGGCACAATGCAGTCAGACAAGTACCGTTCTCCTGGCAACCGCCAAACCCAGACCCGTCCATCAGATTGCCAGATGGAGAAGCGCGATTCGTCACTCCAGAGAACGCGTCTCCACTGCTCTAGAGTCCAGTGGCGGCGTGCTTTACACCACCGCATCCGACGCTTTGCATTGCACTTGGTGATGTATGGCTTGGATGCAGCTGCTCGACCATGGAAACCCATTCCATGAAGCTCTCTGCGCACTGTTCTTGAGCTAATCTGAAGGCCACATGAAGTTTGGAGGTCTGTAGTGATTGACTCTGCAGAAAGTTGGCGACCTCTTCGCACTATGCGCGTCAGCATCCGCTGACCCCGCTCCGTCAGTTTGCGTGGCCTACCACTTCGTGGCTGAGTTGCTGTCGTTCCCAAACACTTCCATTTTCTTATAATACAGCTGACAGTTGACTGTGGAATATTTAGGAGCGAGGAAATTTCTCGACTGGATTTGTTGCACAGGTGGCATCCTATCACAGTTCCACGCTGGAATTCACTGAGCTCCTGAGAGCGACCCATTCTTTCACAAATGTTTGTAAAAACAGTCTGCATGCCTAGGTGCTTGAATTTATACACCTGTGGCCATGGAAGTGATTGGAACACCTGATTCCAATAATTTGGATGGGTGAGCAAATACTTTTGGCAATATAGTGTATGTATATATATGTGTGTATATATATATATATATATATATATATATATATATATATATATATATATATAAATAAATAATAATAAACCGTGAACCGAACCGTGGATTTTGTGAACTGTTCCACCCCTAAAATATATATATATATATATTGTGGGATTACTATGTGTGTATATATGTGTATGTATAACTTAATCCAAGTAAAGTGATAGTCTAGGGGATAAAACCCTAAAACAGGCCTGGCTTTTCTTCTAGAGGGTTAACATCTAAACTTCTCAGCATTTTACCTACAGTACAACCGTATCAGTTCATTATTATTATTCTAAGCCATTTAAACAGGGATTTTATAAAACATCATTGCTTTAGGCTATTTGCAACCACATTTATCATTTGATCAGCATATCAGGAAAGTGACTGATGGTTGTTTTTTTTTTTGCATGTCTCCATCTTAGAGGCTCTAATCAAACTTTGCCTTGGCTTGTCAGGGTCTGACAGTGCAAGTGGAGGATGTAAGGATCAGGGCCACCTACTCTCACAGAAAAAGGATCCCCATCACAGAGGGATTTGTGGAGGTGAGAGATGGAGGCAAGTGGAGGCAGATCTGCAGCGAGGAGTGGAGCGAGATGAACAGCAGAGTCATCTGCGGCATGTACGGTTTCCCCTCTGAGAAACCTTTCAACGTCCGACCCTACAAGTGAGTTATGGCTCTGTGGCAGACATCAAGCTTTCAGTCGGGCTAATTTAGCCTATGGAAAGTCTGTTTATGTGTTTGAAGTTTTACTTTTGGTTGAGTTAAAAACAGTTTTTGGAACGAGTAAACACTGAGATGTAGCTGTTTAGTGAATTCTTTCAAATTCACACATTTAAGAAGTGAAAGCAGTCATTTGTGGCGTACCAGGCCGGCTGGTATCCTACGCTCTTTATGCTAAATATATAGAACTGCTGGAATGTTGTTACTCTTTTTTTAGGATGTTTTTTTCTATTGGTGGGTTTTCTAAGTGTAGGGCCGATAAAACCTAAACTAAACAGATGTTAGGAAACATTACACAATCTGCTTTGTTTACTCTGCCGGTCACTCATCCATTTTTCCTCTCTGAGATTAAACAGTCCTGGCCCTGCAGATTGTTTTTTCCATCAGAAGAAGTTGTAACAGATGAACCGTAGATGTGGACTTGGAGGAAACTGAATGTACTTCAGTCTAAAACAGTGGCTTTTTTGGGTGTTTTATTCATGTGTGTGCTGACATGGGAATATATTTAACTGATCTCCATCCCATTTAAAGCTGCACGGAGCGCCCAACACTATGAAAACAGCGAAATCATGAGCTGACTGAGATCAAAGCCAGATTTCTTTACATGAACCGTCAATCATACGGATGACTGGTTGTAATTCTGCAGCCCGATCTGGACATTTTATTATTATTTTATTTTTTTTACATTTTGCTTGGAATGTCTGCTGCATTGGAAAATGAAATATCCCGCCCAGCAGGTCAGCAGTGGGCCCCGCAATAAATATTTAAACCATCAGGCAGATTACAAAGAAACACTGAACAGTTTTCAATCTACCAGGATAAAAGCATTTGTTTCAAATTATGTTTCAATGTGACACAGTCTCACTTTTTATTAAGAGAGAGAAAATTTGTCTTAATAGGGGAAAAAAAGAGATTTACATGAAAAATGTATATAAAAATTAGCCCCATAGCATAATTTTAGTTTGACATTTACTTAAAAAAAATACTTTTGAGTTCAACTTAGGAAGCATCAGAATAAGCCTAAATTATCTGCTTTATCTTTATATATTAGCTTTTTTTTTAGTGACCCTTAGTTTATGATTTCCATTCATGCACAAAGAATCCTGCATCCCATCTTCAGCAAACCTGCTCAAATGAACAAGGCCTGATGGACTAAATAGTGATGAGTGAATTGAGGCGATTTCAAAGCAGGGCCGTACCCAAACATTAGAGATGTCCCGATCCAGGTTTTTGCACTTCCGATCCGATAGCGATATTGTTTTTGGACTTCCGATCCGATACCGATACTGGCCGATACCAGCCTATCCGAGCATGTATTTAAGTTTAAGTTAAAGTATTTAGCCTTAGTTGTAAGACTCATGTTGAAAAGGGTTTTAGTACTCTTGATGACATCTAGCCAGCTGAATTAGGTGAGATTGAATAAAACACAATGATTGGTAACAACAAACTTACCTGTTTATTAAGAGATAAACACAAACTGGACAAAATTATGAATAGCAATCTGAAATTGCACAGTGAACAGTAAAACCGTAAACAGTTAAAGGTGCAAGTATTGCTGTAAGTGTTAATAAAAATGCAAAACAGACAAGAGTGGAACATAGTCTATTAACTTAGAATCAGGACTCTACTCTTGAAAAAAGACACTGCTTAAAAAAAAATCAGTGCAAATAATAGTGAACTATTACACAAAAATGCCTTATACTCCCCAATCTCCTCCACACCCAGTCTCCATCTACACATCGTGCAGGATAAAATAATCCCACACTGCTGACATTTTCCCCGCTATCTTCCAATTCACCTGTTTTAATGGTTAGGCCGGGAGACGGACCCAAAAAGACCTGTGGGTGTGTTGAAGGTGTTCTGGAAAATGCGGACCGGATTCGGGGAACACTGGCGCAAAATAGTGGAATGGATCGTTTCAATCGGCGAAACTGGACCAGATCGGCAGTCTGGATCGGCATTTTTGCATGCCTTGCCGATACGCATTTTTTTGCCAATATCGGCGTCCGATGCGATACGTGGATCGGATCGGGACAAGCTTACCAAACATCGCAGTATAGTTGCTCCAGATGACCATCCTTTGCCATCGCTGGTTTAGAACGTTTCTTTAAAAGTCAAATTATTAACCCTTTGGTTATTTCTCCTCAGAATGTTGGCTAAACGCCGTAAGAAGAACTACTGGGGCTTCTCCGTCAACTGCACAGGCAACGAGGCCGACCTGTCAGACTGCAAACTTGGTAAAGAGATCCAGCTCAAAGGCAACAACACATGTCGGCGGGGCATGCCTGCTGTGGTCAGCTGCGTACCTGGACGGGCCTTCGCTCCGAGCGTCAGCATGGGTTTCAGGAAGGCCTACAGGGTGGAGGTTGGTCTGACGACTAATACCGTGGCTCAGTTAGCTGTTCACTCCACTGCTGATCTCAACCTCCTTACATTTTGTTATCATCACATTCCTCATTTGGTCTTTATTGGGATTTTATGTGATAATTGTGCAAACATTTCAACTCTTTTTATTTGAAATGATCCTCATCTACAGTATGTACATGTGTTTATTCATTCAGCAACCCTTAGTCCGTCTAAGAGGGGGGGCCATGATCGGCGAGGGCCGAGTGGAGGTGCTGAAGAACGGAGAATGGGGGACCGTCTGTGATGATAACTGGAACATCAGAGCGGCCACGGTGGTGTGTCGAGAGCTCGGCTTCGGCAGCGCCAAAGAGGCCCTGGCTGGAGGCAAAATGGGTCAAGGTAACCAGATGTTTGATGCTAAAATATATATTCTGATGTATAATAATTTGACTCCTTGTAAAGAACTAAAGTATCCAGGACTGTACAGTAGCAGCTGTTCAAAATGACCTTTCCCAGTCAAACACCAGCTGAATGGGCGCCTAATCCCCTGCAACTCGCAGCAAAATCCCCTCCATGAACCCGACATATGTTTTTACTCTGACTTTTACTCAGAGTCTGACCAGGATGAGAGGACGCTTCTCTTTAGATCCTAATGTCTACAAATCATGATAGAAAGAATATTTTCGTACAAAGATTGATGTTTAAAAAAGGAATCGTAGGGGACCATCCAAGGGCTCAAGGAAAGGGGGGAATTTGAATGGCTACTACTGTATGTCCAGCTGTGAAAATGAAAGCAGCTCACCTGCACCACCTCTATATCTTCTGCTTCTGCTTCTTTGTCCCACTTCAGTCTGTCTAGACCTGAGGTCAGCACATGAAGCCAGTAGGGAATGTATGGAGCGGCACATTCATGTTTTCACTCTGAGCTTAACTCTGAATCAGTGAAATGCAATATCCCACAGCTACAGAAAATTCATACAGCTGCAGGAAAAGTTGTTTTTTTCCTCCTCTACCCTCTAAACAGAAGAGTGCACAAAATGTTCCAGAGAAGAAAACATGTTTTATGGGTTTTAGGAGAGGAATTCTTGGTTGGAGAGTGGACAAGCTTGTATAAGGGACTAACCTCTCATCCTGCGACTTTGTAAAGAAAATAAGAATGCATGTCCATGAGATCTTATCTTACAAAATATTTATTGTTTTTGATTGAAAATAAAATAATTAACATTTACCAGCTGTAAAATGAACCTGATTTGGAGAAGGCGGCCTCTTTTGTCCGACCTGTCATGATACAGCCCGGCGAACATCTGGAGAGTGATTACAGATGGTTCAGCATTTTCTTACCGCCCTTCAGAGGTTCGTTTCATCTGTCAAAGCTGACTGCTTGCTTCCTTTGCAGTGTAATGTTACAGTCATCTTCCCCTAGTAGAACATTCTGTCCAAAAAAGCAAAGCTCTTCACTAGAAAAGGGGACTTATGCTGTTTCACTTGATTTCAGCAGGTATTTGGAGGTTCTAAACCCAAACAAATCGACGTGTAACTAAAAGATGAGATATAAGTTCATTGATAACAAAGAGGTTACAGGTGCTGGAAGATGATCTTAAATAGTTTTGTTGAGGTTTCTTTTATTTTATGTAGTTATTAACTGATTTTTGTGTTTGTTTGTTTCCCTGCAGGGGTGGGGTCTGTCCACATGAATGAGGTGGAGTGCTCTGGGTTTGAAAAGTCTCTGACTGAATGTTACTTCAACCGCGACTCTTTAGGCTGCAGCCATGAGGAAGACGCTGCAGTCAGGTGCAATGTTCCTGCCATGGGCTTCAACACCCGGGTGGGTCAGCTGCATCCGGTTTATGGATCGAAAGGAAATGTCAAATAGAAGCTGAACGTAATTGGTAGCCATCTCTCTCCTCAGCTTCGGTTAAATGGCGGGCGTAACTCCTACGAGGGCCGCGTGGAAGTGCTGGCAGAGAGGAACGGCTCTCTGGTGTGGGGCACGGTGTGCAGCGACAGCTGGGGAACCATGGAGGCCATGGTGGTGTGCAGACAGCTGGGACTGGGCTTCGCCAGCCACGCCTTCCAGGTAATATTTCTTCAAACAGCCAAACACAAAGCCTTGTGTTTCATCATCTTCTCATAACCCAAATATAGTTTTTCTCTACCAGAGTTTCTGTCTGTTTAAAAAGGTAATATTTTACTTCTAAAACCCAAATATGAGGATCCATCCCTATAAATGCTAGTGGAAGTATAGGCTGAAGTTTGACATGTCCTGACCAGACATAGCTATTTTTCTCCTTTTTGTTTTTACCTCAAGTAAAGGAAAAGAATTTCTCTTTCTGAAGGAGTTTGCACAGGTTTTTACTTGTTATCATTTAAAGTGAAAACTACCAGTCAGAAAAAGTCCTGGAGATGGGAGATTTTTTTCCCTTTGGTCATATTATTCCTAAGGATTTTTTTTTTTTTTTTGCCTGTCCTGCACAGTCAATTTACTCTGTGCTATTTATCATATGATTACACTCTATTATCTTACGTATTTTAACAAGAAAGCAGTCAGAACTTGTAACCAGACTCTAATTTGAAGGAAAGGAATCACATTTCCGAACATCTGTGATCAGTTTCCACAATGTAATGCTTATAAAACACAGATTTAACTCCTTGCAGTTCTGGAGGCAGGAGATGATGATGGGTTACGGCCACATGAGAATGGATGAGATTACGTCAGCCTGCATGCTGGTACTTCCCAGCTTTAACCCTGTTCACTGAATCAGTTTCCATCAGCTCTTTCTCTAATAGCTTTATTCATCCCAGAAGGCAAAAAATACAGGCAGCTAGGAGAAAAATTTAATGGATGTAAAGGTGGAGTAGATTGAACTTAAATGAGACCTTTGAAGCTCCTGTTATTAAAACATATGTCCTCACTGAGGCAGCGTCAACCTTCAGTCCTGATTATCAGTTATGCAAGTGAATTGAGGGGGATGGGGTTGATGAGGGCAGAGAGGCTTCAGAGTGGGAGAAGGAGTATTGCAGAGCAAGACCTCTTCAGACCCACCAGTCTGCTTCATTTCTTACCCATAAATGGTTTTCCAGGCAAACCTGACCGCCAGATGGAACATATGATGTTAAATCTACACCCCTGCATATCTGCTCCTCTCCTTAGCCCACCAGCAGATACATGAACGTCCCCCAGCTGGGGCTTTGTTCACACGTGTTCTCCGCTTTCAAGACAGTTGGTGGAAAGTCTGACTTTTCCCATTCGCCAGATTTCCATTTAGTCTGCAAAATTGTGCAACAAGGCTTAGTCAGGGCAGGAGGTGGGGGGGGGATCATCTGGGCAAACCCTCGGTTTTTGTACAGTGTGAGGGTTTGGTTGAACTATCTGGTAAGATTTATGCCAACGGTTGGATAATGGATTTCATAATGTGCACAATAAAAAACAAAATGAGAGAAAGTTTTAAAAAGCTAGAAGTGGATAAACAGAAGTTTTTATGGAACTTGTTTATTGCTGACATGTTGCTTCTGCCGCAGCTGGAAAGTAACGCTATAACATCTGCCTGAAATCTTCAGGAGACCTGGTACTGGCAGGGAGACGCGTCCGCTGATGCTGTGGTGATGAGCGGAGTGAGATGTTCAGGAACCGAGCTGACTCTGGATCAGTGTCTGCATCATGGCAAACATGTTAGCTGTCAGAAAGGAGGCGGACGCTTTGCTGCCGGGGTTTCCTGCACACAGAGTAAGAAAAAGAACGAAAGCCCTTCATATATGTACAATATTGAAAATTATGTACTGTAACCTATTTTATGCCAGTATGCAGGGTGTGCTAAAGAACATAGAAATAGAACTGTTAAATATATTATGGTGACACATTTTGTTCTGTTATAACCAAAAAACTCAAACCAAAAGCACATCGAAAAGTCATTGTGATGGATCGACAGAGTGACTGTAGAGCAGATAGTAAAGGATAGATTTTTTCTTTTTTTTTTTTAGAAACTTGCGATTCATTATTCATTTAGCTTTTTTTACCCTCTAAAATCAGACCAGATTGGATCTTTGGATCCTCTATAATAGCGCCTCATAGTGGGCACCTAAAAGGTATTGGAAGCTTAAGCAGGTTTTATAAATTTATGTTTTAGTTTAATTTCCCCAATAGAATTACATTAAAATACCAAATAATATGTTTTCAGATTTGTTTTTTCATTTATTTCTTTTCATCATCTCAAAACCCCGAAAATACAAATAAATGGCAACAAAATTCCTACGAATTATATTTAACCAAATAAGGTTCTGTTTTATTATTAGGTCATGAAAAATGTACGTCTCTAAACCACTTTTATTTGGCTAAACTCAGGACATAATGGCTTTTTGGATTTCAAAGGTTGCAGACTCCTGATCCAGAGCAACCCTTTAAACTATTAACTTCAGCATCTAGATAGAGGAAGAGTATAAATGTCCCCCTAAACCGACAGGCCATCCAAGGAGAGTATCTTTAATAAATGATGTCAAGAGTCCCATGGTAACTCTGCAGACCTGCCAACAGGACATTTGTTAGTCATACAGTATAACCCTAACACTAACCCTTCATCATGGAAGAGGAAAACCATCGTCCAAAGCAGGAGTGTCCAAAAGTTTTGGCCATGGAGGACAAAATGTCTTTTCAGGGGGCACAAAATTTTGATCAAAACTTTTTCTTTCTTTTCTTTCCTACCCAACAGTAATGATGTCATCTCTTTCCTAATTTCTATAAGAAAGAGATAAATATTTAGATCTAAAACTAGTCTTGTGGGTGTGCCTTTAAAAAGAAAAAAGTAGCAAACAATGTCCTAAAATAAGGAAGGTTTATAATCTTTGTGCAGTTTCGGTGTGCAACAAGAAGAGTATGTGGATATGCTCTATTGTAATATTAAATGTAATTAAAAGCAAAACAGATGGTACTTTGTCTTAAACCTGACATTGTCTGACCTAAGTCACTTTTGGTAAATGAAAATTACAACTAAACATTTCAAAAACATTTACCTGCATCCATTGCCTCAGCTGACAAACTATATGTATGCCATTCTTGAAGTCTTGTATAGGGCCTCATTCCATAGGGTCACAAATGGCCCCGAGGCTGCACTTTGGGCAGCCTTAAGCAGATAAAACCTAAAGTAAAAATGTTTGGCCTACATGCAAAGCATTCTGTTTACACGAGAACACCCCCCCATGGTGGCACACGGTGGTGGCTGCATAATGCTTGGTTATTTATAATGACATTCACAGGGGAGTATATGGCATAATAAATAACCAAAATTTAGGACTGGTTAGAAGCATAAAAAGACTGGAACCAGGGAGGAATTTTCATTTCCAGGATATCGGCGCTCAACATTAAGGCAGAAAAACATGCTCAGTTATTGTTGGCTAATATATTCCAGTTTTGAGCCTGGGTTTTTTATTGCTGATCAGCTAGTTTGGACTCAGTTTTACAGTAGTTTATAGTTTCTAGTCAGAGCAAATTAATTTTAGAATGGGCCAGTCAAATTCCAGACCTAAATTCAATTCACATTTGAACATTTTGTTTTTTGAATCTATGAAGGTGAGAGAGACATAATTTGATATAATAAAAGCGATGCTGCATAAACAAACAGCATTGGCTCTAACTAAAGAGGGCTGGATCCATAGGGGAAAAAAAAAAAAAAAGAGTCAAATGATCTTAAGTTTTTAGGCAACAGAAAAGATGTGATTATTACCTAATCAGGTGTATTTTTGGCACTCAAAATAAAATTTAAAAAAAGAGGGATACCATTTAATTTTAAGTCTCATTGTCCCTCAGGGGAACTAGTCCTTGAAGTTACAGGTCCAGCACCCCCTAGTGGCTAAAGGTTTCAGTGTTTCAAAGTTGTAATTGCAGTAAATGGGATTAAAAAAAACAATTTGTGACTCTGGGAGGGATAATAAAAAACTAAAAATATTTAAGATTAAAACTGGTTTTCACTGGTTAAATATTTTTGAATGGATCAATTTATCCTCTGAAACAATGATCACCTGCTTGATGTTGCTCTATACATTAAAATGTCTATAAAATAGCAGTCTTTGTTTATGTGACAAAATGAAAAAAGTTTAATACTTGTGGCACTGTGTATGATAGGTGCTTTCCAAACTGCCCAAAGTGTTTTATTTCCAGGATTGGTTTTAAGGAATTTGTCTTTTAAGCTGGGATCTGTCCCTCATCCTTTTCTCCCCCTATGCAGCGGCTCCAGACCTGGTCCTCAGCGCTCAGGTGGTGGAGCAGACCACATACCTTGAGGACAGGCCCATGTATGCCCTGCAGTGTGCCCATGAAGAACGCTGTCTGTCCAGCACGGCCGACAAAGCCAGCCCAGACTCCTACCGCCGCCTTCTACGCTTCTCCTCCCAGATCCAGAACAATGGCCTATCAGACTTCAGACCGCGGGCGTCGCCTCATTCCTGGACCTGGCACGAGTGTCACAGGTGAGGCCCCACCAGGGCATGCTGGATGTTGGATCAAACTAACATGATTTAAACAAGGATTCCAGAGTTTTTATAAAGTGTCCAGATCTACGGACACTGTGATATCTAAACACTCCTTTCCCTGTATAATCCAGACACTACCACAGCATGGAGGTTTTCACCCACTATGACTTGATAAGTCTGAACGGCACTAAAGTTGCAGAGGGACATAAAGCCAGCTTCTGTCTGGAGGACACCCACTGTGACGAAGGTGAGGTCAAACACTTTACTTCCTTATTTCTAATAATTAACATTTAGATTAAAGTCTCCAACAGCGAAGGTTATTTCTTTAATAACGTTAGAGTTCTTTAAACGTAAACTGTAAACGTCTGCTCTGAACTCAGGTATACAGAAAAGGTACGAATGCGCCAACTTTGGCTCTCAGGGCATCACCGTCGGCTGCTGGGACACCTACAGACACGACATAGACTGTCAGTGGATCGACATCACAGATGTGAAGCCGGGAGATTACATCTTCCAGGTACTAAATCTGCTCTCTTAGTGGTGGACCAGACCGTCACTAACTGGAACAAACTTCCAGAAAACTGTAAAGTTCCTTTAAATCTAGACTAAAAACACATTTCAGGATTGCCTTCGACTGTTCTAATTAAACAGTTCAACTGAAACATCATTAGTTCAACTTTTTTATTTTCTTTAGTCCAATTATTTTTAATATTCTTGTTTGTTTTTGCATTTTTTATTTTATTTTTTTCCTACTTGCTTTGATTGTTTTATTTTCCTATATTTTAATCTTGTAAAGCACTTTGCATTCTTTGTACTGAATTGTGATATACAAATAAATTTGCCTTGCCTTGCCTTGCCTTAACTGTTCATCTACGCTACTGTTGCATAACTGAGCGTCAGCCCATGAAAAATCTGATTTCTGACGCCGCTTTCCTTCTTTCAGGTCTTGATAAACCCAAACTTTGAAGTTGCAGAATCGGATTACACCAACAATATAATGAAGTGTCGCACTCGCTACGACGGACACCGGATATGGACCTACAACTGTCATATAGGTGAGAGGATTTTCCTCTTCCACATCCTGACATCTTCTCTGGTTTTGAACATTCTGGTGGAGTAAAGGAATGATTTTTCCATCAGAAAGCCTTCTGCCGAGGTTTAAGGATGCATTTTGCATTGGTGAATATTTTCATGTTGTGTTTATCAACAGAAACATGATCCTAATTTAAAATCCCAAAGAACAGAACCAAGAGGAACATGGTGGTCCAAAAGGCCCACAGTCACATAAACTAAGAAGTATATAATTACTTTTAAATTGTGAAACTCTTTAATTACAGGACACTGCAGATAGATCGATATAACTAGAGACACAGATATACACATATATAGCATTTTATTATTTAGGAGTTATTTGGACTTAGACTGATTTTATTTTGTCATTTTGTACACACAAGTGTCTACAAAATGAAATTGAATGCGTTGTAGCGCTACTCCTCATAGAACAGGTGGATAAAGGGGTCAACTTTGCTCAACCTACAGATAAAATAAAACAGTACATATGTAAAAGGATAAATATCACATATTGATGAGCTGGAAAACTGTCTTTAAAACCTCCTATTACATAATTACAACAAAATGAATGGAACATGTTGAAACTTTTATTAACAAAAAGGAAAAAAAAGTTAAATCATGACATTTCTTCATTTAGACGTTAGTTATATAAACAAATCAACACTTGTTAACATTTTTAAACTGTGCAACAAAAGGAAAGTAACACTTCTTGAATAAGGCCAGGCCACTTAAAAGATTATAGTTCAAACCAGAATAAAATGAACGATCCAGATGAACTGAAATCCTGAAAATATCTTTTGGATCCTTTGCAGAGATCTTTGACTTGTTAGTGCTGACCAACAGTGAACAGTCAGAGGTCGGGTTCAGCTATAAAAACACTCAGGGTGTGTTTGATTTCAGCAGCTGAATTCCTCCAAGGACCCGGTCTATCTGGACTGGCTCCTTGCAGCTCCGTGAAATTAAAGAGGCTGGAAGAGTTTTGGCGGTGGATCCAAACAAGTCCAGCCTTCTCTGGCATTCACCGCCCATACGCTCTGTTGGCTTGCAACTGTAAAAGTTGAAACACAAAGCAGACAAAGAATGGATGCAGAACTTCTCAATACTGCTGGGTGCCAATAACATTTTCGAGGAGCTTCAGCAGCAGTACTTTCATCTATTTATAGTCCCCAAACTGCAGAGATCTGAGCTTAAATGTGAAGGGACAGATAAAACCTTTCAATAAATCAAACATTACCCGCCACATATCTGACTCAATAACCATTTAAAACAACTATTTTCATTCATTTCAGACGGAACTATTAACGTAATTGCATTATATTCATCACTGTATGGCGCCATTTTCCTTTTTCCTCTGAGCACTGAACAGTCAGCTTGCATGGACTACATGGGATACACAAAGATACACCGGACCCGTCCTTCAAAACAGGCAAAAAGAAAGCTGCATTTGTTATTTGTCCAAACAGGCCTCGGCTCCACGCTATGACGAATCTTGCCTCCGGAGGATGCAGCCCCTGAATTTAAACTCGGCAGAGATTTGCCTCTTTTTTTTTTTCTAGAAAGTGAACCATCAGTCACTTTCATCCTGCCAATACAACAACTGATTGGATTCCTTAAGGCTGTCCAGCCCATCCGTAGAAACGAGAGACGAAAAAAAAAACAAAAAAAATGGACAAAGAACAAAATACTAATTTAAAATCAGCCCTGTAGGTGCAGCATAGCTGTTTGAAATTTAAAGAAATACTGATGATATCTAAATGTGTGACTTCACAGGTGGCACGTTAAGTTCAGACGCTGAAGACATGTTTCCAGGACTGCTGACCAACCAGCTCTCTCACAGGTAGACCAGAGCAGAACATCGCAAAGGACGGCACCAGGAGGACTTTTGGCAACCACTAGAGGGAGCCGCGTGCCGGGTTGTTATTGTGCTCAGGGTTCAGCTGGTACAATAAATAATGGCTCAATAGGAAAAATGAACTGAATGCATTTACCCTATTCAGTTGTCTTTTGCTGTTTTTTGTGCTTGTTTTTTTATTTTTTTTATTTTGTCATTATGACCTGGTGCTCACGATGCAATAATGATCGCAGCCGCGTAACTTATTAAACCCCGGTGTGGCGATCGCTGCATTGGAAACCAAAGTTTTAAATGTGTGGGGACTTCTTCAAACCACAACCCAGACACCATATTACCTAGAAAGAGTAGTTCTTCCTTTGCATGGACTCAATTTATCCTCTATTTAAAACATTGCACTGTATACTAAACAGCTGTGATGAAAAGCAGCTTTAGAAATCATCATAATGTGTTGAAGAGTCCAGAATTAGCTCATCATACCATAAAAATATAATTATATAGGAAGCGCCGTGCCAAAGCATTGGGCACGAAGGCGCTTCACTGCAAAAACAATCCAGAAATAAGTAAAAAATTGCTTAAATTAAGTATATTTAGCCTTAATTTGAGCAGGTAAATAAGATGATTTGCCAATGGAATGAGTATTTTCACTCTTAAAATAAGATAGTTAGATAATATTTACTTGAAATAAGACGATAAAATAGTTTTTTCTTATTTTAAAAGGAAATTGTCTTGTTCCATTGGCAAAGTGTCTGTTTTACCTCCTCAAATCAAGGAAAAACACACTTATTTTAAGAAAAAATAACTTATTGAGGTTTATATTTTTTGCAGTGTTTGCAGAAACTAAACTCCTGTTGTCAAGATTGGATTGAACAGGTAAAAGTTACGGAAAAATGACATCCAATTCTAAATTGAAAATAAAGTGGACATTTCTAATTTCTGAAAATGTTGAATACAAAGCTTTGGATTCACTTCCTGCAGTGCTTGTAGATGTATCCGACATATTTTAAGTCAGAAATTTAAGTTGGGATTAAAGAGAAACAAAGAACTTTGTACACTCATGTTCATTTAAACTATCTCCATCAGGGACTATGGTCACATTGTGAAAATACTGTAACAGCCTCATGTGTTTGTGAAAATACTTTATGTATCTGTAAATGAGTTTGAATGTAGAAACGGAAGAATCCTTCATTTTGCAAGGATCCGTTTCTGATGGTTTTTAATATATTGAAGTAAATGTGGAAATGCATTAGGATTTTAAATAAAACCTGTTGAAAGCAGACAGTCTCTCTTTGATTAAATATATGAATAAAGACGTTAAATAAGTTTGCTCTGTAATTACCGGTTTTAAGGCTCAGAGTCTTGTAAGTATCTGTGCAGTCTGCCTCGCCCCCGGATGCCTAAGGCTCTGGACACCATCCGTTTGGCCACGGCGCAGTCCGTCCTGGGACGCTCCCTCACCGGCTGGAGGAACTCTTTAAGGAGGACGAAAAGTATTCAATCTACATCTATAACAAGCTAGATTTAACCCTAATAGTCCTCATGGGAGCTGAAAGTGTCCCACCTGCTCTTCTGACAGCCTTGCCCTGTGCTTTTTTACTCCCTTGGAAAAGAGCTCGAGCCTTCAGCATTGGATGGCAGATGGAGAGGGCGTGCAGCGCTGTAAACAAAACACACAACCTCCGTTTGTTTTAGTGGCCGTCAGCTCAAACACGGCTCATCAGGTTTAGGGAAAAAAAAGCTCCGACCTGCTTCCTGGCTGGAGAAAACACCAAGAGCGTGTGTGTCGTCCACCCACTTGATCTTCATCCCACCGTCACTGAGGCAAAAATGGGAGAACAGAGGTGAAAAGAGCTCGCTCTGGATTATGGATAAGATGTAAACGACAAGGAAAGTAAAACCATGAGTGAAAAGTTTTCAATTATATTAAAATATAAACAAACTAGAAGAATCTTTCAGATTATAGTTGTATTTTTTAGGGGCTGCTGTTTATAATAGATCTAAACATTAAAAAAAAATTTAGAATGAGTTAATCGCTATTTGAATACAGCAGTCAATTATTGCTCTCTAAGCAATCATTTGCAAAATAAATATTGTGTACACCAATATTTTAAGGACAATATATCTGCTAGATAATGTGAAAAATAAGTTTCTATATATGCTAAGCCACAGACCAGAGCTTTGACCTAAGAATGTGTGAGAAGACAAAGTTCATACCAATAAAACTATTGAAAGTGTTTCTACTTAACAGCGGCCACCTTTAATCTGGTCATGGGTGAGTCAAAGGATGTGTGTCCCAGGCAGAAATTAGAAAAAAATTTTTCATTCATAATGCATTTACTTACAAAAAAAATTATGATAGGCTAATTATTATATACATATAAAAGGGGTGAGAATTGGTATGCGTGGTGCTATACAATACTTACCAAGATACTTGGGTCACAATGCGATATTATCACAATATTGCAATATGTTGCAATATTTTTCCTAGCTAACAATAAAGTATATTAATAGAAAAGCAAGTGTTGTATGTGTTCATCAGAAGATATTGATCATTTAGCTATTTTGGTATCCATGTTGTTTGGGGTTTGAATCAATCCATGTCTTCCACTGTGGCTGCCTCATCTACAGATATGGTGCCGCGCCGCACAGCAACAGGTTTCCATGGTGCAGTGCAGAGGTAGACCATTTTCCCCTCATTATTTTAGGTAAAAATGTTTTGCTTTGTTTTTTTATTATTGATATTAGGAACAGAAATATTTATATTATATCGGGCAGCTGGAATAATAATAACATAATGGATTTAATCCTCCATAATCTATGTAAAGAAGAGCGTTTGAAGGCACTGTGGGTACGATGAGTGTTCACTAAGATTAATAAACAAATAAAGCAAACTAGTACAGCTCCCTGGAATAAGATCTGAAACTGTTTAGCACAGCAGCAGAGAATCTGATCAGCCAATAAATTCAGCAACAAAAGGCAATCAGCTACAAACTGCCAGCAGGTAGAGCTCCTGCTGTGCTTTTCCTGTGTTTGATAGTGGAGGAAATCAAAGCATTTCGATTTTTACTAAGCAAGTTGAAAAATATGGGCTGTTCAAGTGAGTAGCACTGCTGCTTTGCAGCAAGAAGGTTCCAGGTTCGATTCCTGGCTCAGGGTCTTTCTGCATGGAGATGGCATGTTCTTCCTGTGCATTCATGGGTTTTCTCCAGGTTTTCCAGCTTCCTCCCACTGTCCAAAAACGCAACTAATTAATTGGCTCCTTTAAATTCTCCTTAGGTGTGAGTTTGTGCATGAATGGTTTTATGTTAGCTATTCTAGCCAAGTGTCCTTTGTTCTTTAGGACTGTTTTAACTCTAAGTTTTAGTATAAGACTAAAATAAAATTTGATTTAACAATAACTTTATTGACAAAAGGCAAAAAAAATCCTAATTCTAATTATTTCTACTAAAAAGAACACCCGTCCCTATGGGAATGGCTCTCATTTCCACCCTAAAAATGTAACCTTTAACTTTTTGTAACCTTCGTCTAGTGGCGACCACATTAGTGTTCATTTTACAGGAGAGCTAATGGTAGGCTAGAAGCGTTAGCTCCATGGAAGAAGGGAACAAGGAAAAATATCAACTTTAACTAAACCATTTATGGGTCGTCATTTCCAAAAACCTCATACATTTGAATGTACAAACAATGAAAATAAAAACAACATTGCTAATTAACTCTAAAACGATGTTGCGATGTTAAAAGGCTAAACATTGTCATTTTCCACAACAGTCGAGTGACATCTGAATTCATTACAACCACTTTTGGTTAATGTGTCTACAGGCTTTGATAATGTAGAACAAATCAAAATATTTCTAAAAATATTTTAGGTTTTCTGAAAAAACATCATGACTAAACTTTACTGTAATTGGAGAATCACGTCTTTCAGATACCAATTGAATAAATTATTTTTATCAATTTCTGCAAGTAAACATTTGAAGGGCGGCCTTCAGTTGGTTGGATCCTTTCTGAGTTGGTATATTTAGGATCTCAACTCTTTTGCAACGTTTCTACAGAATGATGCTGCCACCAGTTTTCTTTTGTGTAATCTGGACTACTGCTCCATAATTTGGGCAACACCTACAGAAAATAACCGGAACAAATGACAGTTTGCACAAAATAAAGCAGCTCGGCTTGTCCTAAACTGTTCTTCTAGAACAAGTATTAGAGACATGCATAATCAGTTAGCATGGCTGCTATATATATATATATCAAATATACTCTGATTAAAGTCTTTAAAAAAATGTATTATTACAAAAGCACCTGAAATTATTTATAATAGATTGACTTTTTTGGTGACATTCATAATAATTCCAATTGCCAATCAAGTGAAACACGTTTTTGGTTACCTGCTTGTCGAACAAATCAACTTTAGAGAATATTGTGCTCTAGAGCCAAGCTGGCATTCTTCCTGTAATTCTTGGGTTTCAGAGATGTACAATGTTAGCTTTTCCAAAAGGCTTAGACTTTATGTATTTACTTTGGAGTGACTGTAACATCTACGGAATTAAGTCATTCATAATGAGCACTAGTAACTGAGATGTTTTGTAATTTACACAATACCCAGAGATTGGTAATGTTTTTTACATAGGAGAGCTCATACTATATTGTTATGTATATTTGTGCGTATGTTATATATATAAAGTTGTATTGTGTGTGTGTGTGTGTGTGTGTGTGTGGGTGTACCTGCCCAGCCCTCAGAGTGAGGACCATTTTTACAATTTCACCATCAAATTTAGGACCAGTTGTTGCAAAGTGAAGACATTTTGGGGGTCCTCACATGCCACTTTGCTAATGTATAGGTTTAGCTAAGGTGTCAATTGGTTAGGGTGAGGTATTAATTGGTAATGGTTAGGTTTAGGGTTAGTTTTAGGGTTAGGGCATAGAAGGGGTTGAAAATGACTGAAAATAAATTGAAGTCCATGGGAGTCAATGCGTGGTCCTCACTACGATGGCAGAACAAGTATGGGTGTGTACTTCTGTGTATGGGTTCATTGTTACACAGTTTTGATGTAATATCTGATTTAAAAAAATGTTAAGCCCCTAGGAAGAATGGCTACTTCTTTGACTCAGAAGCTGATGGGGATCTAAATAAATAAACCAGTGTTTGGCAGTGGGGCTGGTGTGTTTAGGGGGTTTGCAGCATTAGTGTTTTGTTTACAGGCCAACATTTAAGCTTGTTTCTCTTTATGTCTAGAACACCTTCTTACCCCCTTTCCTAGTGCATGGATGCCATTTTTATATATCCTTGTCTTTTAACTTTGCAGTTATGCAATATTTTATACTGATTTGTTGCATAACACCAGATATTAGAAGTAGAAACAAAGCAATCAGAACTGTGTGGCTTACTTCAAATCTGTTTCCTTAATGAGTTTTATGATAAAAAGTCGAAAAAAGGATTTTTATTCAGAGTAATATGTGGATCATGCCTTTATATTCTCACCTATATTGAGCAAAGGCATCCAGAATGTCTTCAGTCTTGAAAATAACTGGGAAGTCGTAGATCTCAATGACGTGGCTGAAGTCATCAGAGTTGAGGAACACGTTCTCGTAGATAGAGTAGTCATTGTGAACAAGTTCAATGGAGACATCTCTCTCCTTTAGCTGCATCTTGATCTGAAAGAACGACAGACAGCAGCACAGTCAAGTAAACACCAGGAGCATCACGGAGCTTTATGTTCAGCTAAAATGTTCCACACTTCAGCAAGATTTAGGTTCAAGAGTAACCTTTTAAATGTACCAACATGTTTCTCCTGACTCAAATTAAGAGAAATGTTCTGACTTGGATCTTATAGACCATCTATAGAGGGAGCTAAAGATAAGGGTGATGGTAAGGAGGGCACCCAACCCAAAAGACTTGGACCTGATTGAAAAGGGAATAATTATTTTTTAACTATTTTCATTAAATATAAAAGGCTATTTATAAAACCTCAAATAGCATCGATAAACTACCTGTTTTGTCACATCGTCCATGTCTGTGCTCTCCTCCTCAGTCTCAACCTTGTCCAAATCTTCTCCCGTTGCTTCTTCCAACTTCATCTCTGAAAATGACAACTGCGTCTGGTCCCAGACAGCATTCTCCTTCTCCTGCAGCCGCGGCGTCAATGTTTCAATCCTTTCCTGAAGACAAAGTTCTGAATCGTTCTCAGTCGTAGCGGTTACGTAGTCGGCGAGACACGGTTCCAGTCCAGAGAAGGCGCGGTCTGATGTTTGCTCTGCTGCTTTAGCGGAGGAATGAGAATCTGCAGGACTGCAGCTAATCTGAGCAGAACTTTTTAAGTCATTGTTTGCAGGGGAGCCAATGGAGCTGTGCAGAGACAGCCTCTCACGAGCGGCTCGCGGCATGTAGAGAGGCTTGTCCGGCCTTTTAGGTGCTCTGTTCTGTGACAGGATAGAAGGTTTCGCCTTGACGTTGGATTCTTTTGTTGCTCTGCTGCCGGGGGGCGCTTCAGAGAAGCAGCTGGTGCTCTCTGCATCACTGTCTTCTTCCAATTCAACCCTAAATGAAATAGACATCTTCACACTATTGGCTTCTCTGATTTAATCAACAAACAAAAAACACCTTAATTGCTGTATAACTGTTGTTGATATTACTGTACCTGAGCTCAGAGGGGCAGACCACCACCCTACGGCACCAACTCTCCCCCACAGAGAAGGTAGTGAGCTCTGGTATGTCTTCAACCGTCCTGTGAATCAGGTATCTCAGTCTGCTTGGTAAAGGAGGGAACAGGAGCACGCTGCATGGAAACGCATGGAGGGAAGGCGAGCAAAGGTGTGAGCCGCTGTCATTTCTACATTTTCAATTAAAGACCTTTACAGGAATGGAAGCTATTCAACTGAATAAAAGAGCTTCAAAAACCTCCTAAATGCATCTTAAACTATCAAATATTGCAAAGTTTAACAAAATCTATAAAACTTTCAAAGTTGATTTCATCCTTTCACCTAACCTAAGAATATGGCACAGGTAATACTAATTTATTCTCTGTCTTTCTTGTTTTAGAAGCTGATTGACAATATGTCACATATATGGGAAATCATTTCTATACGACAACAAAAATAAGCAGACATGGGGAACAACTGATTTTTTTAAACATTTCTTCTCACAAATTGCTCAGGTTTTACACATAATTCCACTGTTTACAAGCTTTTTCTAAAATATACAAAAAAGTGACAATAATAACATGATCAAAGTTGATTTCTGTCCCTTTTATATTGTTTAAATAATGAAGTTCAGACCCATTTTTAAAAGTAGTTATAGTTTCTTTTTAAAATACATGATCAACGTATTTCAGCTCAGCTACTAAATGATGTACCCCTGATGTGATATTTGGTTTTCAGCTGCAAGGTAAAATGTTTCCCAAACCTTTCCCTATCAGTCTCTTAATTTGGTTTAATATTTTCATACTATTAAACCCTCCTCTCACCAAAAGGCACAGAAACCAACCATATCAGTCTGCAATGTAACTATCAGTAAGCAGAGACAGCATTTGCTTACGGGCCCACGACCTCTTAGGGGCCCCATCACTGATATCTGGTTGGCCCCCTAAGCAATTGTAGACTAAAAATTCCTCTTAAACCCACCTGATACTATAGTGACTGACTGTATTTATACCACAACACATGCCAGATTTCAACATGATGGTGAGCCGTTACACCAAAACCAAAGCAGACAGTGGTGGTTTTAATTACTATGTTATTATAACTGAGTATAGTTCATTAGACAGTTGGTAAAAAATACACTCATATGTTTCAAACCACAATAAAAATCTTAAAAGAACGATGTATTTGAGTATTTTATTTTTTACACTACGACTTGGAATTATGGGTAACCCAGAGCATAGATAAGTGTAGGTAAGCATCTCCCTGAAATTAATTTTTTGGAACTTGGGATGTCTGTAACATGTGGTGGTGCGCAGTCACCAATGGTTCCATTCAAGGTTCCCAGTCACTATTGTTCTAGGTGTGATCATATACTACTGAGAACTGCATAATTGTATCTGCTTGGCCGATTTATGGAACTGTCGCTACGTGTTGTACTTCCTATGGGGCCCACCCAGATAATGTTGCTTAGGGGCCTATTGTTGTGTCGTTACGCCATTGCCAGTCAGTTCCCAATTAGGCGCTCCACAGAGGTACTGCATGGGGGGTCATGAAAGTTTTGGTTGATTAGATATTTTTTTATATTCCCTCCCTAAATTTTTTTAATATAAACATCTTTAAAGACACATTAACATGAATTCAGTCTTTCAGTCATCAATGCACACATTCAATGACACACAGGAGCTCTTTTAAGCTGGGCACCGTTTCATTCACAACACCTGTCCCATCAACCAGGAATCAGAATCAGAAATACTTTAATAATCCCAGGAAGAAATTACTTTCGTTACATTACTCTATATGTAATAGAGTGACCATAGGACCAGTTTTATGTAACACTATTTTATACAATATATATATAATTAGAGGGCCGCAACAACATGTTTTAGATAGATAGATAGATAGATAGATAGATAGATAGATAGATAGATAGATAGATAGATAGATAGATAGATAGATAGATAGATAGATAGATAGATAGATAGATAGATAGATAGATGACACTCTTAATAACATGTTTTTCAGTTTGTTTGTCTCTCCTCCTGACTATACTTGTTTATTGTGACATAGCCCCTGGCATATTTGTTTGTTTATTTGTATATTTTATATATTATTGTTGACTTTAAGTAAAAAAAATAAATAAAATTACAGGCAGCAAAAACTACCCAGCAAGGTTTGTCATTACTTACGTTTTAAACTTTCCTTTCTGTAGGTATGTTTCCAGATCATCCACAGTAAGAAGCAAAAACTGATTTTCTTGCTTCGGGAGATAAGTGCCATCGAAACAAGGGACCGCCAGGATGCAAGATGGGAAAGACTGCTGGTGTGTAATTACACAGGGTGAACTATTGCACTATTAGACTGTTGGAAATATTACTACCTAATAAATACTAAAGAGCAATTTAAAGAGTCGAAGAAGACATGCAGGACTGGTTTAAACTAGAGGTTGGCCCATGTAGGGAGGCTTTAGAACTGCTATCATATTAACTATTGCAAAGGGTTTCCATCAGCGTTCCATCCTTCCTACTTCCTGCTGCGGGAACAGAATATCCGGTCTGGGCCTTTCAAAATAAAGGTTCTTCTACTTCTTCTTTTCTATTATGGAGGATTGCAAGCAACTTTAAGCTGCATACCGCCACCTACTGTACACGAGTGTGTAGCAACATGACTTTATATCAAATTCTATTTTTTTAATTTTGTTTTCTGTAGATAAATAAATAATGCTTTCCTTAAACTATGAATATCCTTTATATTTCCTTCATTTCCCAATAATCCATTAAGAATCCATTATTTGCCTGTCCTTTCAACCATCCTTCTCAATTTCTCCCTTTCATGTTCATAAGTTTACAGTTCAGTACATGTTCTACATTTTCTTTTTCTCCACATCCTTCACATTTATCATTATTTTTAAATATAAATTGTCAATTAAATAGGTATAAGCCACTCTTGATCTGATGATTATTGCTTCTTCCCTTTTGTTTCTCTCATTAATGATTCTATTTAATACAAATTTTTGTACCTTACATAATCCTCTTCCTTTCTTATCTTCTTTCCACCTCTTTTGCCATTTTTCAATTTCTTTACTCTTAATAAGTGATTTTCCTTTCCCTTTCCCAAAAGGAATTGTAATTGTTCCCTCTAAAGCCCTTTTTGCTACTTACACGTTTTACTTACACCTTCATCTGCTGGAACCCAACATAAGAGAATATCAGTGCCACCCCTTTATAATCTGAATAGACTGTACTGGATACTGATACTAAATCTGTTCTATCATTTTCTTCTCCCTGAATATTTTCTAAAACTGCTTTGTAATCTGTACAGACCACCACCCTGTCTGCTCTAACCATTGTAAGCTTAGTATAACTGCCACCATTTCTGCTGTGAAAACAGACATTGAACTGATATTCTTTTAGAAATATATATTTTAAACTCTGGTACATATATTCCTATTCCCACACATCCTTCAAAATAAAGGTTACGTCGGTATATATATATATATATATATATATATATATATACATATACACTCACCGGCCACTTTATTATGTACACCTGTCCAACTGCTCGTTAACACTTAATTTCTAAGCAGCCAATCACATGGCGGAAACTCAGTGCATTTAGGCATGTAGACATGGTCAAGACAATCTCCTGCAGTTCAAACCGAGCATCAGTACGGGGAAGAAAGGTGATTTGAGTGACTTTGAACGTGGCATGATTGTTGGTGCCAGAAGGGCTGGTGTGAGTATTTCAGAAACTGCTGATCTACTGGGATTTTCACACACAACCATCTCTAGGGTTTACAGAGAATGGTCCGAAAAAGGAAAAGATCCAGTGAGCGGCAGTTCTGTGGGCGGAAATGCCTTGTTGATGGTCAGAAGAGAATGGCCAGACTGGTTCAAGCTGATAGAAGGGCAACAGCGACTCAAATAACCACCCGTTACAACCAAGGTGGGCAGAAGAGCATCTCTGAACGCACAGTACGTGGAACTTCGAGGCAGATGGGCTACAGCAGCAGAAGACCACACCGGGTGCCACTCCTTTCAGCTAAGAACAGGAAACTGAGGCTACAATTTGCACAAGCTCATCGAAATTGGACAATAGAAGATTGGAAAAACGTTGCCTGGTCTGATGAGTCTCGATTTCTGCTGCGACATTCGGATGGTAGGGTCAGAATTTGGCGTCTACAACATGAAAGCATGGATCCATCCTGCCTTGTATCAACGGTTCAGGCTGGTGGTGTCATGGTGTGGGGAATATTTTCTTGGCACTCTTTGGGCCCCTTGGTACCAATTGAGCATCGTTGCAACGCCACAGCCTACCTGAGTATTGTTGCTGACCATGTCCATCCCTTTATGACCACAATGTACCCAACTTCTGATGGCTACTTTCAGCAGGATAATGCGCCATGTCATAAAGCTGGAATCATCTCAGACTGGTTTCTTTAACATGACAATGAGTTCACTGTACTCAAATGGCCTCCACCGTCACCAGATCTCAATCCAATAGAGCATCTTTGGGATGTGGTGGAACGGGAGATTCGCATCATGGATGTGCAGCCGACAAATCTGCGGCAACTGTGTGATGCCATCATGTCAATATGGACCAAACTCCCTGAGGAATGCTTCCAGCACCTTGTTGAATCTATGCCATGAAGAATTGAGGCAGTTCTGAAGGCAAAAGGGGGTCCAACCCCTTACTAGCATGGGGTACCTAATAAAGTGGCCGGTGAGTGTATATTAAATTTAATTCAGTTTATTTATTTAGCGCCAGTTCACAACACGTCATCTCAAGGCACTTTACAGTTCGACCAGATCATACAGTCAAATTGATTCAAAGTTTTCTATCTAAGGAAAACCAGTTGATTGCATCGATTCATTGACTCGAATACAATCCCTCACACTAAGCATGCTTGTAGTGACAGTGGAGAGGAAAAACTCCTTTTAAACAGGAAGAAACCACCAGCAGAACCAGGCTCAGTGTGAGCGGCCATCTGCTGAGGCCGACTGGGGTTCAAGGAGACAGAAGCAGAGATACAAAAGCAGCTGTAAAAGGCGGCCCCGTCCAGGAAATACATAGCCAGGCAGACAAGCTCCAAGCCAACTCCCATGTCAGAGGACGAAGAGAGCACATCCAGCCAGTCACGGTCAGAGAAACAGGACTACACTGGAAAAAAAAGGCCGATCTCCAACATCCACAAACAAAGGTGTTGATGGGAGATATATATATATATATATATATATATATATATATATATATATATATAGAAGTATTGAGTACATGTATATACAATTATGTAGTCATAGATTTCAATGGGCTCACATTTCTTTGTTAAATATGGACCATGCATACAAAATGTGAAACACTAAGAAACCCTGTTTTTGTTTTGAACAGCCATATGCCATAAAGAACCTAAATACGTCAGCTTATTCTGAGTTTATCTTTTTGAAGTAATAAGCGGAAATGCTTTAATTGATTTTGGATGTATTTAAACCACTATCTCCCTACATGTGTAAATAAAGAACAACAAAAAAAAGACCAGGAATTCAGCTTAATTCAATTTATTTAAATAAAACATGACAATCATGGACAAGTATCCAACAAACAAAATGGCAACGATGTGCCATGGAGCTTCCTAACCGACTACGCTGGTTAATGCTAATGAATAATATGGTGGTACTCGTGACGTATAATGCAGTTGGATATGATAAGTCTAGTATGATGCCACATAAATGACTTGGTAAATATGCTCTGCCTTCAACCCCTGAAAACAAACCCTTACATTCTTTCACACAAAGGAAACACGGGTTAAGCCATGGTTGAAGCCATTAAATGACTGTTGTGTTCACAAATTGGCTCTAAAAACTAAACACAATCTGTAGATTTACGTTATCAAAACCGACATGGAGGAGGCAATGAACAAAATGGCACATTTTATAAAGTCACACATCCTGAGTATAAAAAGACGAGAACAGGAATGTAGAAACAAAGCAGTAAACAAAGGGGTATTTATAAATCACAAGAAAAAAGGATCACATTGAAATTATATTTCTAATTCTAAGGTTGAGGTTTATGTTTAGATGGGGAGTATCTGATCAGACACCAGGCTATAAACCCAAGTAGGAAATAGAACTAAATCGTGTTCCAAAATAGAAAAATGCTGAATGCAAAGTGTATTTCAGTTCATTCCTGTCGATTTGTCCTGCAACTACTGATCACAACTGTTGTTTTTTATGCTTTTCTCTCTTTTGAGGGAAGGATGCCATTTTTGCCATTTCATTTGCATGTTAAAGTGGAAACACTCATCGGACCCTCAGGAGTATGGAAGGCAATTCAAACATCGTTGCATCAGAAAAAAAAATGTTTTATCTTCCAGAGCTGATAGTTCTGTCTTCAAAGATGCTGATTTCAACCTGAAAAAAAAGGGTAAGTTAAGGACAATAACACAAACACATTTGAGTGCGTGTTTTATATCATGAGAGAAATGTTTGACAAAGTTCAAATGTTGTGTTTTCATAAACTTTAAGTAGAAAATCGTGATAACAGAAAGATTACAAAGACAAGTATGTGTCTGTATAATCTATATAACAGGTTTTGATTTATTAATGGTTTACAGAAATAAGTAAAATTTTCAATTAATGGGCCATATGACCAAATCCACGAGTTCCTGAACTTCAGGAAGCTCCTTTGTTTCATGTCTTTAATTTCTGGATTAACCCCAGTGTGTCTGACCTCATTAATCATGAGGATATTAAACTGACACACTTAGATTGATAAGTTTCTCCATACATACAGTCCATTTACTGAATATAAACACTTATCAACAAATCAATCACTTATTAACAAATCAGTCAGTCAAGACTAAAAGTCAACCCTGGTTCAATCAGGGTTGACTTTTTAACTTTTCTTAGGTCTCTGCTGTGTTAAACCTTTACCAGATTTAATCAGAAATTTGAATCTGAATAATTCTATATGTGTGTTTTGATTAGCACAGTTCAGGATACGACTCTGAGGCCTCTCTCTATGGGGTCAGTCAGCAGTAAGCCTCTGGGAGCATAAATCTTCTCATTCTGGTCCTTTATGTATCTGGCAATCTTCTTTAACACCTACACATAAAACCAGTGAAAATCAGAATTAAAAAATAATGCGCCATGAAATTTGACACAAGAAAAAACGCAGGCCACAGAGGGCATCCCGGTGTCACCTTTTCATAGTGCGTCTCCATACAGAGGAAGATGGTATAGGCAGTCAGGCAAGCCAAGCAGCCTTCCAGATAAGATTTCCCCCCAAGCTTCTCTGCCTCAGCATATAGGTTGTTCAGTGTCTGCATGGTCTCCTCAAACTGCTGCTTATCAAGCTAGAAAAACACCAACAGTTTAGTTCTGACATCTCTTCACAAAACTGAAAATAAAGAACCACATCAACCATAAAATACCCTCGACTCAAGCTCGGAGGGGAACTTGGTCTGGAACTTGCATATTGTTC